GTGCTAACAGCGAGGCGGAGATGGCTGACTGGATGCAGCACCTCTGCCAGGCCGTGTCCAAAGGAGTGAGTGTCCCTGCTTCCGCCATCTGTCCAGCCTGGCCCATCCAGGATCTCTAGGCTCCTACCCACAAACGCACCGGTCACAGAGAAGCCTGGGAGGGCCAAGATGGTGGACCCTAGGGGACAGCCCAAGAGTGAACACAAGCTCATGGCTGGACCATTCCCCCCTCCCCTCCCTACACTGCTAAGGTAGACAGAGTCTAACATCAATCCTGGTGCTGGCCACCCTGGAGAAACAGCTTACCTCTCTCACCTTCTGCCAATATCCAGGTCATACCCCAGGGGGTGGCTCCCAGCCCCTGTATCCCTTGCTGCCTGGTAATCACGGAGGACCGCCTCTTCACATGCCACGAGGATTGCCAAACCAGCTTCTTTCGCTCGCTGGGCATGGCCAGGCTGGCTGACATCAGTGCAATCTCCACAGAGCTGGGCAAGGAGTACTGTGTCCTGGTAAGCTGGATGGGAACGAGGGCACGGGGCCGCCCAAGGAAATTCATGCATGCTCACCCGGGGCCTGCTGTCCCTAGGAGTTCTCCCAGGATAGCCCACAGGTGCTCCAACCCTGGGTCATCTATCTGAGCTGCACTTCAGAACTGGACCGGTTCCTGACTGCCCTGAGCTCTGGGTGGAAAGCCATCTACCAGGTACAACGCCGTTCTTGGCCTGGCCTCACCTGCAGGGTTCTGAGGGCAGCAACTTGCAAACAACCCTGAGACAGACACAGAAACTTAGGGCCAGAGAGGCAAATCCCAGTGTCAGCTAATCTATCAAAGCTAAAAATGACACTAGGAGCTATGGCGCTCTTTGTGAGCCTGTGAGACTCAGGACAGGACCTCCTCTTCCCCGGAGCCCTGGAGAAGTAGTAGCTTTTCTTTTTCATTTTGATGTTGTTGGGTTGTTTCGGTTTTGGGGTTTTTGTTTGTTTGCTTGTTTTCGTTTTTAAGACAAGGCCTTATTATGCAACTCTGGCTAGCCAGGAATTCACAGAGAACCATCTGCCTCTGGCTCCTGGGATTAAAGGCCATGTTGCCACTGCGCACAGGGAGAGGTACCATTTTGTGCATGTGCGTCCTGCCCCCTGTGGTTCTGGGGGAGCCCTAAACTGAGCCTGAGGTGAAGAATAATCAAGGACAGAAACGTGCCCAGTGAATTCCAGGGAGACCTGAGAACTCTGGGTCTGTGTGCAGAGCAAGAGAGAAACTTGTAACATGGACGATGTCCCCAAAGGCATGTATCAGGCCCCCAGGGGTTTTCCACGGCTCCTAGGAAAGCAGCCTGCAGCCTCTATGCTCCCTCTCATCCACCACAGGTTGACCTCCCTCACAAGGCGATTCATGAAGCTTCCGTCAAGCAGAAATTCGAAGACGCCCTGAGCCTCATCCACAGTGCCTGGCAGCGAAGCGACAGCCTCTGCCGAGGCAGAGCCTCCCGGGACCCCTGGTGCTGAGGCGTGACTGCACAGCAGGCACTGTGGTGTGTCACCATGCTGTTTGGGAGCCAGGTGTCCATGGGCCTCTACGGCCCACTCCTGCCTCGGGGTGACAGAACCACTAGCGTGGCTTGAGACGGGGACCCAGAGTGAGTGTCTAGCACTCTGGGCTTCCTGCCCAACCGGGAGTGACTGGAGGTCACTGGGGCAGAGGGTCTGAGCCCTGTGGGCTCTGTAGACACATGGTGAACCCTGGGCCACCACCTTAGTCCTCACCATCTGCTCAGGGTGGCCATGAGAATAACAACACCCATTTAACGGGGAGCAAAGAGACCAGGAGGGTGGGCGTGCCATCTTCGTTTCCTGGGCCAGGGGCCAGGCAGATGGTCAGGTCCCCTGGGGGTCGCGAGTGCCCAGCCACCCTTGTTCGCTTTTGAACAGGAAATGGGAACACTGGGTATCTGCATGCCTCACACATCCACCCCATGCACAGCGGCCTGCCTCACACAGCCTGGGCCCAGCCTCCGTGGCTGCCAGGAGGCCCTGCATGTCCACTGCCCTGCCTCTCCTCTCCCTCAAATACAGCAGAGCTTGTAGGAGCCGGGCATTGGTTGGCTCCTCCTGCCAGGAGCAAAGGAGAAAGGTTGAGAGAGCAGAGCCCATGAGCCTGGGGGCTACTTTGACACCTGACTGACCCAGGCTTGGCTGGAGCTGGCCCTTCCTGAGGTCTTTGTCCGGTCCCTCAGGGGATGGGGCAGATGGGTTGGGCTTTGTTTTTTTAAATAAAATTGACATTATATTGCTGAGACTTGTCACTTGCCCTCTGTAAGCATGAGATGGGAAGGGGAGGGATACCCTTCTGCAACATCTTCATTGTCCGCTCTGTGCCCTACACACCCCTTCCTGTTTCCTGCGTGGCTGCCAAGAACTGGAGCCTAGTGGTGCAGTTGTAAAGGAAAAGGCCTAGGTCTTCACCGTGGCCCTTCGCTTTCCATCCCATCTCACCCAGGGGCTCTGGGTGAGCAAGACTGAGGCGCTAGAAGTCGGGGGATGGGGAATGGGCTTCTGTGTATGTGTTTCTCTTATTGGTTGAGAATAAAACAGTTTGACCAATAGCCAGTAGAGACATGAAGGTAGGAGACGAGGAGAATTCTGGGAAAGGTAGTCAAGAGAGAGACTGCAAGGGATGCCTTGTAGCTACTGGGAAGTTAGCACTGGTGTTCTCTGGGAAGATAAGACCACATGGAAATACTTAGATTAATAGAAATGGGTTACAGAGCTAGCCAATAAGAAGCCCTAGCCATCAGCCAACAGTTTAATAATTAATGTAAGTCTCTGTGTGCTTATTTGGGGCTGAAGCAGCGGGACCTGGTGGGACAAGAGAACTTTCATCCACACTTGGGGGCTGAGGAGGGCATGGGCCACCTGTCCCTTGTGAAGAAGCACTGTCACACATCAGTCTCCCAGATGTCTTTCTGGAGTCAGACTGGGGACCCCTCCCCCACCAGCCCCACCATTCTCCACAGTTCCCAAAATCGATAGCAGTTTGAAAATAGGAAAGGGAAGATTCTAGAAATGAGCGGTTGTAAAGTTTTACATGTGTGCACTGGCTTGAGTAGTATGTGCACTTTGCAGATGTGGCCCATCCCGTTGTCAGGGTATCTGTGCTGCAGATGTGGCCCATCCCGTTGTCAGGGTATCTGTGCTGCAGATGTGGCCCATCCCGTTGTCCGGGGTATCTAGTCGTTGGTTTTCTTTCTTCCTTTCTTTCTTTGTTTTTGTTTGTTTTTTGAGACAGGGTTTCTCTGTGGCTCTGGAGGCTGCCCTGGAACTAGCTCTGTAGACCATGCCGGCCTCAAACTCAGAGATCCACCTGCCTCTGGCCCCCGAGTGCTGGGATTAAAGGCGTATGCCTGGCTTAGTCCTTGGTTTTCCTAGCGACTGGTGGCAGGGCAGGGTTTGTGTTCTGGTAACCCCTTTTTTATTTAATAATGGCCCCCAAAGTTGTCCTCTGACCTCTGTACACATCTATGTCCTATGTGTATCCCCTTACACACACACATCCACACAAGCAGGATAGCCTAAGCTATATAGTGAGACCCTTCTAAAATACATATACATACATACATATATATATATATATTTTGCATTGACATTAAATGGGGTTTGTTGGGCATGGTGTCACATACCTTTAACTCAGAAGGCAGAGGCAGGCAGATCTCTGTGAGTGCCTGGCCAGTCTGGTCTACATCCAGGACTACACAGAGAAACCCTGTCTCAAAAGGAAAGAAAGAAAAAGAGATTAATGGGGTTGGGGAAATTGTTCAGTGGTTAGAGCTCTTCTAGAAGACCTGGGTTCCATTCCCAGCACTCACTCACATGGTAGCTTACAGTCATGTGTAACTCCAGTTCCAGAGGATACAACACCCTCTCTGACTTCTGTGGACACCAGACACACATGCATGCAGGCAAAACACTCAAAATACGTAAAATATAATAGAAAGTAGGCACAGACATGCATGCTTGTACTGTCAGCACCTGGGGGCTGGGCGGGGTACAGGGTAGAGACAAGTGGAGAGCGGCATGAGTTTGAAGGCAGCCTGGGCTGTACACTGAGTCCTGGCCAGTCTGGGAATGAGACTGCCTCACATGAAACAAAACCTCAAAATCAGGACTCTGGGCCGGGCGTTAGTGGCGCACGCCTTTAATCCCAGCACTCAGGAGGCAGAGGCAGGCGGATCTCTGTGAATGTGAAGCCAGCCTGCTCTACAGAGCGAGTTCCAGGACAGCCTCCAAAACAATACAGAGAAACCCTGTCTCAAAAAAACCAAAAAAAAAAAAAAAAAAAGGATTGGGGGTGTGGGGGTGGGCTGGAGAGATGGCTCAGAGGTTAAGATCACTTCCAGAAGCCGGGCGTTGGTGGCGCATGCCTTTAATCCCAGCACTCGGGAGGCAGAAACAGGTGGATCTCTGTGAGTTTAAGACCAGCCTGGTCTACAGAGCGAGTTCCAGGACAGCCTCCAAAGCCACAGAGAAACCCTGACTCGAAAAACCAAAAAATAAATAAATAGAAAGGGAGGGAGGGAGGAAGGAAGGAAGGAAGGAAGGAAGGAAGGAAGGAAGGAAGGAAGGAAGGAAGGAAGGAAGGAAGGGGAGCTATAATCTGAGGGAACCGGATTGGAAGACTGAGGCCAGGAAAGAGGAAGTCTCGCACTGTGACAGATGTAGAAGCGGGGCAGTTGCTGTCAGCCCATGTAGCTCATGCCTGGGGCCAAGTCACTGCAAGCCCAGGGCTTTAGCTGAAGCCAGACAGGGACTAGGGATGGAGCAGGAAGTCCAGAGGACGAGGAGTGTCCTCCCCTAGTTTGGCTCTTTCTTCCTGCCTCATTCTCCTTCCAGTCCCGAGTGACCTTTACTCCAGATCCCAGGGTCCAGGTCCGCCTGGCCAGCGGCAGCTGGGATTGGTCTGAGCCAGAGGAGGTGTGTCCAGACTCCCAAGCCCCAGTCCACTGAACAGCAGGTGGAGTTCCAACAGAGACCAGGGGCCTCTTAGTCACTGACAAGAGCTGTCCTCTAGACATGGCACTGGCCCTCCTTGGTCCCCAGCCCTGTGGCGACACACGGGTGCAGACAGCCTAGACAAGGGAACCTCTGGCCTGTGCTGTGGCCCTGACCCGGGCACAGATGGCTCCTGCCATGGATGCAGGGGATATGGTGTCCCCTGCTATGGACCTGGTGCTGGGTGCCTCAGCCTGCTGCCTGGCCTGCGTATTCACCAACCCCTTGGAAGTGGTGAAGACTCGGTTACAGCTACAGGGGGAACTGCAGGCCCCAGGCACCTACCCACGGCCCTACCGGGGCTTTGTGGCTTCTGTTGCAGCCGTCGCCCGGGCAGATGGGCTGTGGGGCCTGCAGAAGGGGCTGGCCGCTGGCCTCCTCTACCAGGGCCTCATGAACAGTGTCCGTTTCTACTGCTATAGCCTGGCGTGCCAGGCTGGCCTCACTCAGCAGCCAGGTGGCACCGCGGTCGCAGGCGCTGTGGCTGGGGCACTGGGGGCCTTTGTGGGGAGTCCTGCTTACCTGGTGAGTGTCCTTCCTCCATTACCCCTCTGTGACCAGCAGACGCTGTGGCCCCAGGTTGGGCGGGGCTCGCTGGGAGGGAACCGTTCCCAGAGACTATCTGACTCAGATCTGGAATCTGCCCTCGCTCTGACCCTTGCTCTTTTGGGGTCCATGCCCACTGGTCTTAGCCAGGAGAGGGAGCAGGTTATGAAGTAGGTAGACTCTAGTCTTCATTTGCCTGTGATTACTCCTGAATACCCCCTTATATGGTCGGAATAAACACTGCGGCTGAGCACCGGCTTCTGTGCCCTGGTCTGGCCCCTGAAGTACAATGTCCTTGAGAGTTGCAGGACAGAGGCCCAAAAATCTACTTAAGAAACTTGGCTGGGAGGCAGAGGCAGGCAGATCTCTGTGAGTTCTAGGACAGCCTGGTCTACAGAGCGAGTGCCAGGACAGCCTCCAAAACTAGAGAAACCCTGTCTCCAAAAAAAAGAAGGAAGAAAGAAAGAAAAAAAGGAAGGAAGGAAGGAAAGACTGAATGAAGGAAGAGAAAAAAAGGAAGGAAGGAAGGAAGGAAAAAATGAATGAAGGAAGAGAAAAAAAGGAAAGAAACTTGAAGCTGCTGGTGGTACACGCCTTTAATCCCAGCACTTAGAGTCAGAAGCAGGTGGATCTCTGTGAGTTCAGGGCCAACCTGGTCTACAGGATGAGTTGGAGGACTGCCAGGGCTACATAGCGGAACCCTGTCTCGAAAAGGAAACAAAATAAATAAATAAATAAGTGAACTCAAGCCAACTGAGACTGTCCCCGAGCTTCAGATGTGGTAAGGGATACCATACAGGAGAGGGGCTCAAACACACCCAGCCCCTTTCCCAACCTCTACCCTAAAGCCCCTCACCTGTTCTGCACTCCCAGGTCAAGACCCAGCTACAGGCCCAGACAGTGGCTGCTATGGCCGTGGGGCACCAGCACCAGCATCAGGTAAAACATCTTCCACAGAACCCAGGGGACCCAGGCTGTGAGGGACTGTGGCTGTCCAGTGACCCAGGCCCTCTCTTCCCTGCAGAGTGTCCTGGGTGCCTTGGAGACCATCTGGCGCCAGCAGGGCCTCCTGGCGCTGTGGCGGGGTGCTGGTGGGGCTGTGCCCCGAGTCACGGTGGGCTCAGCTGCTCAGCTGGCCACCTTTGCCTCTGCTAAGGCTTGGGTACAGGAGCGACAGGTAAGGGGCTGCGGACACCTGCAGACAGGGAATGGGAGGGCGGTGACAGATGGGGGTCCAGAACAAAACCTGGTCTTTTTTTTTTTTTTTGGTTTTTCGAGACAGGGTTTCTCTGTTGCTTTGGAGGCTGTCCTGGAACTCGATTGGTAAACCAGGCTTGGTCTGGAACTCACAGAGAGCCACCTGCCTCTGCCTCCCGAGTGCTAGGATTAAAGGCGTGCGCCACCACCGCCTGGCCAAAACCTGGTCTTGTTGAACATGAGGAGACACACTTATGCTCCTAAAGCTTGGGATGTTGAAGTAGGGGACTGAAGAAGCTTAAGGTGGTTCTTAGCTACATAGGGTTCAAAGTCAGCCTAGGCTACCTACAGGAGACCCTGTCAAAAGAGGAGAGAGAAAGATGAGGGAAGGGAGGAAGGAGAGGAGCGAGGGACAGAAGGGAGAGAGAAGGAGGAAGGAGAGGGGGTTGCAGCTAAGGATAATGTTTCTCACCTGTCATCTCAGCACTTTGGTAGAGGCAGGAGGATTACAAGTTGAAGGACAGCCTGCTGTACATAGCAAGACCTGTCTCAACAAGAGAGAGAAAGAGGAGAGAGGAGAGAGAGAGAGAGAGAGAGAGAGAGAGAGAGAAGGGAGGGAGGGAGGGAGGGAGGGAGGGAGGGAGGGAGGATGGGAAGGGAGGAAGAGCATAAGTTGTTGGCTCTGTCACCACAGCTGTGACCTAGCCTTTGTGTCCACCAGAAACTGGGTGTCATCAGTGAGCCCTGGAACCATGGAGGGACACAGGGTTGGTGCTGGGACCTGGGGATGGCTGGAGAGGTCTGATGTGCTCTCCCTACCCCAGCCCTGTGAGCTTGGGTCAGGGGGAGCACACCTGGGGCAGTGGGCGGGGTCAACAGCCTGAGCCATCCCCGCAGTGGCTTCTGGAGGACAGCTGGCTGGTGACCCTGGCTGGAGGCATGATCAGCAGTGTAGCTGTGGCAGCGGTCATGACTCCCTTCGACGTGCTCAGCACTCGGCTGTACAATCAACCGGTGGACAGAGCTGGCAGGGTGAGCTGGGGACGGGGAATGGAGGATGTGTGGAGAAGTACGCGCACACACATATGCACACATGCACACACACACACATGCACACACACACATACATACACACATACATACACATGCGCACACACACACATACACATGCACACACACATACATACACACATACACACACAAACATACACATGCACACACACACAAACATACATACACACATACATACACATGCACACATACATATACACACACAAACATACACATGCACACAAACATACACATGCACACACACATACACATACACACACATACATACACACATACATACACATGCACACACACATACACATGCACACACACATACACATGCACACACATACATACACACATACATACACATGCACACACACATACACATGCACACACACACATACATACACATGCACACACACAAACATACACATGCATACACACACAAACATACACATGCACACACAAATACATACACACATACATACACATGCACACACACACACACACCAGGGGACATGCGCCATATTCACAACCATTAACATGCATGTCCTAAGCCCTTTGCCTGGATTTTATTCAGTTTCCTGATGAGGAAATTGGCCCAGAGAGATCAAATGACCTGGTTGAGGCTGCCCAGGTGATCAGCGGAAGGGGCAGGATTGCAGTCATGTCTCCTGTGGTAATGCCAACAGGAAGTGTCAGGACAAAGATGCCTGGGTGCCACTATCCAAGCTGCACCCCTGCAGGAGGCTATCTGCCTGAAGGAAAAGGCTCCGTGTTAACTTTACAGTCCGTAATCCTCCTGGGCTGGGTGGCGCTAGGTGCTCCTAGAACACTTTCTTGTCATCTGGGACCTGTCAACTCTCAAGGTGGTCCTCACCCCATGTCCATCCCCAGGGCCAGCTGTACGGGGGCCTCGCTGACTGTCTGGTGAAGATCTGCCAACAGGAGGGACCCCTGGCACTCTACAAGGGCCTAGGCCTTGCGTATCTGCGCCTGGGCCCCCACACCATTCTAAGCATGTTCTTCTGGGATGAGCTTCGGAAGCTGGCCACAAGGGCCCAGCACTGACCGGGACGTCCAGCCTAGTCCCTCATCCCACCGCCAAGCCTGGCATTTGGTGGACCTGATCACCTGCTTCAGCAGGACTGGCTGCCTCGAGCCGGCTAGAGTCAGGCCTCGCTACAGGTCAGCGGGGAGTGAGCCGGGACCGCAGACAACCGCCCCCCACCCCCTTCCCCTCTGCTAGGTTATGATGCCCGAGCGCATTGCCATAGTAACACCTGCATGCAAGGGTTGCTGTGAGCACAGCCATTCGGTGGCACTGGGTCCTCAGTGCTCCACCCCCGCGTGACCACACAATCCTCTCTGAGGCTGCGGGGAGACATTGCTCTGGCTGGAGCCACACGGCTTTTGTGGTAACAGAGCCAGGACTGCAGTTCGACCCTGTGCTCTCTGCGAGGGACATGTCATGACTGTTGGGCTGCAGTTCCCTCAGAGGCCACTGCATGTGAGGAGACTCATGGTTGGGTCACAAGGGAGGTTGACCAAGGCCAGTTATGGAACAAAGTTCTAAAGCCTCGGCAACTTGAACAAGAACCAGTTTTCTTACTTTCAGAAGCCTGGAAGACCAAGAGGGTACTGGCGGTGTTAGCATCTCTCTCTTCTCTTATTTCTGCTATTTGTGGTTCTGTGGTGGAACCAGGGTCTGGGCATGTCAGTCATGTGATCTACACCCCCAGCCCAGGGCTGACTTTTCAGAGGCCTCCCTCCTTGCCTTCCAGATGAGCATCTTCCCAGTGCTTCTGTTGGAGCCACACCAGCCCCCTTCAGGCTGGGAACAGATCAGTCGACAGACTGCCAGCCCGGTGTTCATGAGGCCCTGGGTTCCATCCTCAGCGCTGACTAAACACCGGGCATGATGGCACCTGCCTGTAATCTCAGCGCAGAAAGAGGAGAGAGGGAGGGAGGGAGAAAAACGAGAGAGAGAGAGACAGAGAGAGACAGAGACAGAGACAGAGAGAAAGGAGAGGAGGGGAGGAGAGGAAGAGCAGACAGGAGAGAGAGAGAGAGAGAGAGAGAGAGAGAGAGAGAGAGAGAGAGAGAGAGAGAGAGAGAGAGAGAGAGAGAGAGAGAGAAACAGAGAGAGCAGAGAGAGAGAGAGAATAGAGGAAAAGAGGACAGAGGGACGGGGGAGGGGAGGAGACAGGGAAACTCAGCTCTATTGGATAGGGCCCAGCACAGCACAGGCACTGCTGTTAAGTTACAGGTACCTACCAGTCTCCACAGTCACCTCCTGAGGGACTCGGGTTAGGACTTCAGCATGGGTCTGGGAACATCGCTGAGTTCAGGTTTTTATTGAGGACTTCCCATCTGTGTACATCCAGAGGGAGTTCAGGACATGGAGGCCCACTCAAGTCACAGAGCAGTGCCGCAGCAGGGCCAACGACAGACTCTGGGCCCTTTCTGCAGACTGCAGCCACACTCCGGGCGGCTATTGGGAACGGGGACAGGCGTGTTTGTAAGGCCCCCAGTAACCAATTCCTTGGCCAGGCAGCTCCAAACACACTCCAAGGGTGAGAAACTGCTCTAGATGAACGATCCAATAAAGTTTTCTATTTTGTGTACTTTCGCCACTCCTCTCTGCTTCCTGACCCCGAGCCCCAAACCTTCAGCTCTCAAGGAAGGACCCAGAAACCAGCCGCCACCTGCCCCAGGTGAGGCCTGCCACCTAGTGGACCCAAGAGGAACAGCATGACCCGGCGGCAGGCCGCATTCAGCTTGAGTCTTAAGGGGAGTACAAACCCCTCTCTCCCTGCGGCCTATAGAAGCTCCTACTAGATCTCAGAAGGGGCAACAGAACCTGAAGGGACCTAGCGCTTGTGGGGAAAGACCTGAGTGGAGAGGGCTAACTCACTCTTCAGGCTGAGTGCGGGCCACACCTGAGGCTGGGAAGACCGGGTGAGCAGACAGAGGGGCTCTCGGAAGGCGTGGCGAGCTTGACAGGTAGCGGGGACAGACCCGCACTAGGGTGAACTACTTTGCCCCTGAGGCTTAAACAATAAGTCAGCAGCAGCAGCGGGCTCACAACGCCCCTGGTTCTTGCAGCCTGGGCAGTCTAAAGCCTCTGGCTGTCCTGCCCCACCCCCCAGGCCTTTGACCCCTTCCTAGTCCCTCCCCTGTCCTCTAGAGACACCTTTGACCGGTGATGTCACTGGGTCTGTCCCAGCGCAGACCCGGCCCGAGGCTGGGGCTGGATTCCTGGAGGCGGCCATGTTCTCCCTCCCTTCCCTCTCCTCCTGGCTCCCCAGCCTCCCTTCCTTTGAGTGGGGTTCCAGTCTCTTCGACAGCCTCCTGCAAGGTGAGCGCCTTCTGAACGCGCATTGGGCCCCGCTCCTCCCTTGGGTGGGCGGAGTGCAGGGTGGGTCCCACCACCCACGTGGGGTGGGGGTGGGGGTTCTGCACCTGGCTGCCCCCTGCGCTAACCCTGCCACCTCCCCTCCAATCCTAACGCCCCCCCCCCGCCCTCTCCTTTGTCCGGCTCAGGCCTGATCGGGGCCCTTGGAGTCTCGGTTCTCAACAATCTCCTGAAAGTTTACTTCTTCGTGGCCTGTGTCAAGTGAGTGCCCACGTCGGTGCCACCCAGCCCTGCCCAGGCAGTTGGTCCCTGCGCGGGGTCCGGTCTCTGAGAGTGGAACCCGGGCCCTGGCATCCTCCCAGGACCAGACCCCGTTGATCCTGCCCCCCAGCCCGCACCCATTCTGCCCCCACAGCGACCCCCAGCGGCAAACCCATAAGCAGCGTCTGCGAACACAGTGGGCCTCGCTGGAGACAGTGCACCTGGCTGGTCTGACCCTGTTCCTGACCGTGGTGGGAGCCCGGGTGGCCGCCCTCGTGGTACTGGAGTTCTCCCTCCGGGCTGTGTCCACAGTGCTGTCCCTGGGCAAGGTGAGACTGTAGGGTGGGGCCAGTCTGGGCCACTTTCCCCCCTGGATTGAGAAGTAAGGCCACTGGGGCCCCCTTTTCCTTCAGATGAGGACCAGAGATTGTAGTTTAGTTTGTTTTGTTTGGCTTTTCTCTTCTTGTTTTTTGTTTGTTTGTTTGTTTTTTCCCCGACACCGGGTTTCTCTGTATTGTTTTGGAGGCTGTCCTGGCCCTTGCTCTGCAGACCAGGCTGGCCTCAAACTCACAGAGATCTGCCTGCCTCTGTCCCCCAAGTGCTGGGATTAAAGGGGTGTGTCACCGCTACCTGATTGTAGTTACCTGGAGTTTTGATTGCCAAAGTCACATCTCCATGGCAGTGCAGACAGATCTCCACCCCTCCCCCCTCCGTGTAAGTGTGTTCTATGAGCTGGGAGCGTGGCTCAGTTGGTAGTGCTTGCCTGGCATGCATAAGCCCTGGATTTGATCCCCTGCACTGTGTAAACCCAGGCGTGGTGGCTCACTCCTGTAACCCCAGCACTCAGGAGATGTAAGCAGGAGGATGTGACGTTCAGGGTCATCCTTGACTAACATTGGGTGAGGCCAACCTAGAACACATGGAATCTTCATTAAAAAAAAAAAGGTCCTGTATTGCCCTGGCTAGGTACCTTGAGGGGTTTTGCCCATTTTGCCCTGACAGCTCTAATGATTAAGGGTCTTCTCAGATCTCCACAAGTGGGGAAACTGAGGCTCAAGGGAGTACATGGTTTGTCGGTGATCAGCAGTCGTCAGGCCCTGAACCATCACCAGCCATCGATGGGCAAGAGACACCACCCTTGAGATGCCAGCTCCTACAGTGCCGCCTACCCTCGGCCTCTCCCCCTGCAGGGCTCGGGGGACAAGGAGCGGCTGCAGCTCTTCCTGGTGTGTCAGTTCTCACTGGGCTGCGGGCTGGCCTGTGGCCTGAGCTTCCTACAGGAAGGCGCCCCGCACCGCACCCTGAACCTACTGCTGAGCCTGGGGCTGGCCACGCTGCTCAGCTTGGGTGCCCGTCGCGTCCGCCGACACATCTGCAGCCTCTATGAGTTGCACACCAGCCAGCGCTACTGCGGGGTCTGCTTGGGCCTGCTGGCTGGCCAGCATGGCCTGCCCAGGCTCCTGGGCCGCACTCTGGCCGTGGCCTTTGCTGTAAGTGACTGGGCAGCTGTGGCCCTCATCAACCAGGATTTCCTGAACACGTCAGAGGCCATGCGTTTCTGGACACCACTCACCATCTGCTACACGCTGTTGGTCATCTACATGCAGGGTGAGAGCCCCTGGGCTGGGGTCCCTCCCACTGGTCACACTCCTCTTGCCATCCCGGCCACCCAGTCCAGGGACAGGACTTGTACTTTACTACGGGTGTACTGTGAGCCACTCAAAGCAGCCATGTGACATAGGAGCCCTAAATAGCTGGTCCCTGGGCTGGCGTGGTGGTGAGGTGAAGGGGATTGTGGGCAAGAGAAATACCTGCCAAAGCACAGAGTGAGTGAGGGCAAGGCCATGCAGAAACACCGGGTGGTTCGGGCTTGTTACCCCAAGGGCAGCAGGGATTAGGGCAAGGCCCGCAACTTCAGAAAAGACTGGTCCAGATCGCTGGCCAGTCAAGCTGGAAGACAGTGGCTGATCAGATCTGGCCTCTAGGAAGAACCTCCTGGCTGCAGACTGGGAATTGATGGGACAAGGCCGAGTAAGGAAGGTGGTCCAGGCAGTAGAAGCAGCAGAGGTGAAAACCCTGAGTGGGAAATAAGCTTGGCGTGCCCACTGCGCAAAATGAGAAGCCACGATGTCTGGCCCTGTGACTAAGGGTCAGACTGAGTGAGGTTGGGGAATTGGGCTTGGGCTGCATCAAGCCTGACCTCATAAGTCAAGGCTTGGATTGGAACTCTACTCTAAAAGCCATAGGAAGTCCTGGGAGCATTCTGAGCAGAAGAATGATGTCATCTTATTGAACGGTCACTTTAGCCGGGTCAGTAGAGTTTGTTCAGGAACAGAAGTCAAGAGCCCCATGAATGAGCTTCAGCAAGAGGGGAAGGTGTCTGGGACCAGGGTGGGGCAAGAGGGAGTGGGGCGTGTGCTAGGCGGAAGTGGACTGGGCTGGGGATGACTCCGACCCACGGGCACAGAGGGGAGAATCTTGGTCCTTGTCACCGACTGGCAAGGGCTCTGTCCTCAAGCTGGGGAGACTTAAGGGTGGGCAGTCCATCTTGTGAGTGCCCAGAGAGGGAAGCTGGGATGTAAAGGCAGCCGGGAAAGGGGGTACTGTCCCTGGGGAGAAGGCATTGAGAAGTGGAATAAGCTGGCCCCAGCTGACCTCCAGAGGGCGCTGGCTGAGACAGTGACAAATGCATCCCGCAGAGGAGCAGCGGCAACATGGCTTCAGCCTACAGGGCCAGGTCCAGACGGTCCTGGTGCGCATGGGTGGCCTCTTCATCCTGTTGACGGCTTTGGGCCGATGGCTGGACCTTCTTGGTGCCCTGGTCTCCCTTCTGGGTGAGATCTGGTGCTTGGCAGGTGCTCGCACCCTAATCGGCCTCTGCCAGATACAGGTAGGCACCTCCATGTACCCGCGGCTTCCCACCCTGCTCCCAAGGGTCCCAGCACCTACAGAGGCCCAAGTTTGATAAGGGTTATGTTGACTGGGGAGGGTAGAGAACCCAGGTGTCTTTTAGGTCACTAGAAGTGGGGAGGTGGGCGCCAGGGACCACTCCAATTGGCACCCCAGGGTCCCAGAGGGCCGATAAGGACCTGATGATAATGGAGCTGAGACTAACTGGGGGACGTGTCCCTTCTGACCCTCCCCCAGGGCTTTCCATCCCAGAGGCCTACAGTAACAGCAGCAGTAACACCAGGAAGGGTATCAACAGTGACAGCTCCATGCGAGCCCCGGTCTTCTGCACCCGTCCTGTCCAGAAGCGAGGCCCCCTCCTGACCACAAGATGTGGCCTGGAGACTGAGTGGCAGAGCTGGTCCCCACCTAGAGTTCAGGGCAGGACATAGGGGCCCCTGGAGACAGGGGACAGTTAGGGTTGGGAACTTGGAGAGGTGGGGCCATGAAGGCCCATGAGTAAACCCCACTCTCTTGAAGATGGGCAGTGAAGGCAGCCTCCTCAGACCCGCCTTTCCTGGCCAGGCCGGAGGGCAGACTGTGACCTCAGAATGGGCCCCTGCTCTCCTGCCACCCCTCCCCCCACCTTGCTCTTTCCACAAACAATAAAGTTGACTTTTCACAACCTGTGTTGAGGATTACAGAGACAGAGGAAGAAGAGGAGACTTCCTAAGGCCCACAGAAACCCTCTTTTGGCAGGGCTGTGGGATAGGAGCCTCAAGCTTACCCCTGCCCTGAGTCTCCTGGGGGCCGAGGACATGGGTTGAAGTTCTCACTCAGCCCCCATGATGGTTTTAGGAGACGGGAAGGACCTCAACAGAATCTGGGGTCCTCAAAGCGCTTTCTCCAGGCTTCACCTTCTCTTTGTCACCCCCCCACAGCCAGACATGCGATAATCAAGGAAAAAAAGGTATGTAGAAATAAAGCTAAAATCCCGGCAGCAAAAGGTAGATTGGATAATTTAAATTAGGAAAGCTGGCTAGTAAGAAGCCAAGCTAAGGCCACCCGGCATTCATAAGAAAGAATAAGCCTCTGTGTATTTATTTGGGAGCTGAGTAGTGGGCCCTCAAAGAGTAAGAGCCAAACGAGTAAAAAAAAAATAATAAAACCCTACAAAGAAGCCTCTTGGGCCAGAGAGCCTGCCTGTGTGGGAGTGACGAGGAGGAGGTGAGACCTGGAGACCCCAGATTCTGCTGAGGTCCTTCTCCTCTCCTAAAACCATCATGGGGGCTGAGTGCGCTGAGGCTTGGTTGGAGGAGGGCTTCCATGAAGCCCTGGGTTCAATCCCCAGCACTGCGTAAACCAGGCATGATGGTGTCTACGCCTGCAATCCCAGTACTTGTGAATGAAGTAGAGCTCAAGGTTATCCTCTGCTACACACCAACTTCATGGCCAGCCTGGGCTACATGAGCTCCTGTCTCAAACACCAAAATAAAAAGACCATGACCATCTAAGAATTGTTGGCCACTGGCTCTCTCCTCCCTAACCAAGCAAGGCAGGCCTGCAAACAGGCCAGGTGCAGCACAAGGCTAGCCTGGTGGTGTCGGGCCCAGCCCAAGGGCAGTAGGAGTTCTGCTCAGCACAATACCAGCGCCCCTGCTTGTGTGAGTTGGCTTCCAAGCCTCAGCTTGCCCTGTCTGGAGGAAACGACTCATCTGGTGGGTAAAAGGCCAGCATCCACCAGACCCAGACTGGCTCTGGGTTCCGACAGAACCCACTGTTTGTGCTGGAAGGCATTCCAGTCTCAGCCCGCAGCCTGGCTGGGAATCTACTGGCGACAACTGGGAGAGAAGAGAACTCAGATGTCCTTTCCTTTTTATGGGCACAGGGACCATTGCCCAAATAAAAATTGGGACGTGTGGGCTGGGAGAGAGTTCTTGTCTTATCAAACTATTTTTCTGAAAATTATTTTGTGTCTGGCAAGAGTATAGAAATTTAGTCATCCAAGTTTGGGGGTGTTGCCCAGGCCTATGGTGCTTGCCTCTAATGTATGAGCCCCTCCCCCAAAACCAAAAGAGCTGGGAATGTGACTCAGTTGGTATATTATTTGCCTACCACACAGCAGGCCCTGGGTTCGATTCCCAGCACTGCATAAACTAGGCAAGGGTTTGCATGCCTGTCATCTGAGCATTTGGGAGATAGAGGCAGGAGAAGGTCATTCTGTAGATACATGGTAAGTTCAAGGTCAGACTGGGATGCATGAGACCCTGTCAAGAGAAAGAAAGAAAAGGAAAGAAAGGAAGGAAGGAAGGAGGAAGCGGGAGGAGGGAGAGAGAAAGAAAGAAAAAGAAACAAAGAGAGAAAGAGAGTGATGGCTCCTCTGGTAAGGGTGCTCGCTAACCCTGATGACCTGGGTTCAATCCCTGGAACACACCTGGTGGAAGGAGAGAACTGATTTCCACACAAGCACTGGAGCAGGTAAGTGTCTGTGCGCGTGTGCATGCTCACACACACACTACAAAGTGTACAAATTTGTCCTAAAAAAGGAGCCTGATGAGGTGTGCCTGGATGCATGCCTTTAATCCCAGCACCTGTAGAGGCGGATGGAGCAGCTGCAACAGGCTGTGTGAACTCGGTGATTTTTATCTGGGCTGCTACCAGAAGGTGCCGCCCACACTGGGGGTGGGTCTTCCTGCATCCATAGAGGCAACCAGGACAGTTCTTCAGCTGAGGCTCCCTGCTCACAAGATTCCAATGTGTGGCAAGCTGGCGTTAAAGCCAACTATGCAGCCAGGAAGTGGTGGTGCCTTTAATCCTAGCACTGGGGAGGCAGAGGCTGGCGGATCTCTGTGAGTTCGAGGCCAGCCTGGTCTACAGAGTGAATTCCAGGATAGCCAGGGCTGTTATACAGAGAAACCCTGTCTCGGAAAACAATAAAAACAAAGCAAACAAAAAGCAAGAGAGAAAAGAAAAAAGAAAGAGAAAGAAAGAGGAAACGCCGGGCGTTGGTGGCGCACACTTTTAATCCCAGCACTCGGGAGGCAGAGGCAGGTGGATCTCTGAGAGTTCGAGGCCAGCCTGGTCTACAGAGCGAGTGCCAGGACAGCCTCCAAAACAATACAGAGAAACCTTGTCTCGAAAAAACAAAAACAAAACCAAAATACACAAAAAGAAGTGCAAGACTAGGCTCCCAGCAGCTGGGATTGAAGTAAGCCTGCCTCCCATCCTGGGCTTTCTCTTTTTCCTGTTTTGTTTACTTTTGTTGTGTGCTGGCTAGTTTTATGTCAAGCTGACCCAGGCTAAACTCATCCGAGAGGAGGGAACCTCAACTGAGAAAATGTTTCCATAAGATAGGGCTGTACACAAGCCTATAGAGCATGTTCTTATTAGTGACCGATGTGAAAGGGTCCAGCCACTGTGGGTGGTGCCCTCTGTGTGCTGGTTGGTGGCCCTGGGTTCCACAAGAAAGCAGGCCGAAGCTGGGCAGTAGTGAGGCACACCTTTAATCCTAGCACTCTGGAGGCAGAGGCAGGATGGATCTCTGTGAGTTCAAGGTCAGCGTGGTGTACAAAGAGAGTTGCAGGACAGGCCTCTCTGGGGGCCGGGGGGAGCAGGCAGAGTAAGGCAGTAAGCTGCTTTCCTCTAAGGCCTTGTCTCCAGGGTCCTGTTCTTTCTGAGTCACCGTCCTGGCTTCCTTCAGTGATGGACCGTGATGTGGACGTGTGAGCCACACAAACCCTGTCCTCCCCAACTTGCTTTTGGTCATAGGGTTTCATCAGGGTTTCTCTGTGTAGCCCTGGCTGGCCTGGAACTCACTCTGTAGACCAGGCTGACCTCGGACTCAGAGACCCCCCTGCCTCTGCCTCCCGAGTTCCTGTAGGGGGCCAGGCCTTGCTCAGTCTGGAGGCAGGCTGTAATAACTTTGCAGCTCAGAAAGGCCATCTTCCAGAGAGAGGGACAAGACAGTGAGGTATCAAGTGACAGTTAGTGCCGCTGAGAAGATGGAGCTGGGTTAGAGGATGGAGACTGATGGGTGGGCTGTTTAAGGGACCAGGGAAGTATATCTGTCAGCGTGGCTGTATAACAAGTCCTCACTTCCGGTACATGGTAGTAGTACACTCCCAGCACTCAGGAGGCAGAGGCTGGTGAATCTCTGGGTCTGAGGCCAGCCTGGTTTATAAAGCAACTGGCAGGACACCCAGGGCCACACAGAGAAACCCTATCTGGAAAAACAAAAACAAAAGCAGCAACAACAACAACAAAAAGATAAATGGTGCTTTGTTGTAGACTATTATTTTTTATGGTTTTTCGAGACAGGGTTTCTCTGTATTGTTTAGGAGCCTGTCCTGGAACTCTCTCTGTAGACCAGGCTGGCCTCGAACTCACAGAGATCCACCTGCCTCTGCCTCCCGAGTGCTGGGATTAAAGGCGTGCGACACCAACGCCCGGCTGAATATTATTTTTAATTTATTTTTATTTTATGTGCATTGATGTTTTGCCTGCATTGTGTTTGTGTGAGGGTGTCAGATCTTGGAGTCACAGGTAGGTATCAGCTGTCTTGTGGTTGCTGGGAATTGAGCCCTTATCCTCTGGAAGACCAGTCAGGGCTCTTAACCACTGAGCCACCTCTCCAGCCCCAATGTTATTTTAAGATGTGTTACATTTGTTTATGCTGTGGAACGTTTGTTTAATGATGCAAAGATGTATTGCATTGCATTATTTTATGTTGCATGTTTTAACTCTGGGAAGGTGTGTCACTTTGTCTGTCTAAACACCTGATTGGTCTAATAAAGAGCTGAACAACCAATAGCTAGGCAGGAGAAAGGGTGGGCGGAGCTGGCCGGCAGAGAGAATAAACAGGAGGAGCAATCTGGGGAGAGAAAAGATCTAGGAACAAGAAAAGAAGGACCACATCAGGGGCCAGCCACATAGTCACACAGTCAGACATGAAACAAGAAGGAAAGAAAAAATATACAGAAACAGAGAAAGGTAAAGCCCAGAGGCAAAAGGTAGGCAGGTTAATTTAAGATAAGAAAAACAGGTTAGAAGCAAGCCAAGCTAAGGCTGGGCATTCATTCATAAGAAAGTACAAACCTCCGTGTGTTTATTTGGGAGTTAGGTGGAGCCCCCCCCCACAAGAGCAAAAAAGTAAAAGTTAAAAAAAAAAAAACAGTGCCTAAGGAATAGCCTCTAGGTTAACCTCCAGCCTCCACATACGTGCCTACACATGCATAAGCAGCTCTGAGGAAAAGAACATGAGCTTCTTACAAAAGGGGAATGTTTGTTTAGAGAAAGCACATTCAATCATGGGAGACGTGGCACTGGGGTCCAATCGTCTGACATCTTCCTGGGCAGTCAGCCAGGAATGCTTACTAACAGTGTTTTCTGCCTATGACCCGGCTGCCCTTCTCTGTCTGCAATCCTCCTTAACCTCCATGCAACTCCTAGTGCCCCCCCCCCTCCTGGGGTTCTCATCCCATGGAATGCAGCCTGAGCTCATTTTACCTTCACGCTGAACTTTCCTGGGGCTCAGAGAGTTGGGAAGACCAGCGGGCCCATGTGGGGTACAGGCTACAGAATTGGGAGCACTAGGGTTGCCAGGTGGGAAGGGATGATTCTCAGTAAGTGAGGGTTAGCGGGGCTGCGTTTAGTGAAAGGATCCAGTCTCAGGAAACAGCTGAGGAGTTGGGGCATGTTCAGAACCCTTTCAAGAAAGTCAGGCCAGGTTTGTCTCTCTGCTGTCAGCAGAGGGACTCTGACTGCAAGGCCTGGAACCAGAGGGGCTGTCCGGGACTGCTCAAGATCCTCAGCTCTAGCCTTCTCACTGGCTCAGTGACTGTGGGAAATGGCAGGCTTGGGCAGGTTTGGCTAGTCAGTTCAGGCCCCCAAAGCAGAGGTTAGCACCCAGTCTCTGTTTTCACGGTCAGGAGAGAAGGTGGTCCTCTATGCCTGGTGAGGGTGCTTGGGTCACACTGAATGTCTCCTAGGTCCTAGGCATCTTTGTCTTAGTCAGGGTTACTGTTACTATGATGAAACACCATGACCAAATGCAAGTTGAAGAGGAAAGGGTTTATTCGGCTTATACTTCCACAATCCATCACTGAAGGAAGCCAGGACAGGAACTTAAAGGGCAGGAACCCAGGACCACCACCAGCCCAGGGGTAGCACCACCCACACAATAGACTGGGCCTTCCCTCATCAATCACTAATTAAGAAAATGCTCAAGGGCGATTGTAGTGCACGCCTTTAACCCCAGCACTCAGGAGGCAGAGGCAGGTGGATCTCTGTGAGTTTGAGGCCAGCCTGGTCTACACAGTCAGTTTCAGGACTACACAGCGAAACCCTGTCTTGAAAAACTATGCAGTACAATCTTTAGGTACAATTTTTCCCATCACTTATAAGAAGGCCACAGCATGGGTTGCAAGGGAGGAGAGTAAGGTCTAGAGAAGCTGTTTGCCCAAGGCTTCCAGGGTAACTCAAAGATAACGATAGTCCCCAGTCCATCCCTGCCACCATCTGGGACCCCACAAGGCCCCACCTACTGCAGCCCCACCCATGCCCATCAGGACGATTGCGAAGCTGTATTCAGAAAATCCAGCCCCCTTCAACCAGTCCAAGGAAATAAATTGGAAGATGGGGGAAGGGGCTGGGGAGACCAGGGCCCTCCTGGGACTATTTGCCTAGGACTGGACCCCCGCACAGATGCATGTGTAGAGAACATTAACATGATGCTGGGCTGTTGGCTCTGGCCTGGCCCAAAAAGCTCACCAAGGAGAGACAGCTGAAGGGACACTTCCCTCCAGAGTCCCCGTGTGTCTGTGTTCCCCCCCCCACACACCCATCATGTATGCCCTCAGGGAGCCTGGGAGCAATGTGACCATATTCCCAGAGAGGAGGAACCTCAATCTTTCCCTCCAATCCGTTGATCCCACTCCTTGGATCTTGCTGGACTGTAATTGCTGTGGGCAGAATGCTTCAGAAAGTAGGCAAGGGTGGCTGGGGAATCCTCAGACCTTCCTTAGGAGGGCGCCCATGGTAGAGCAGACCCTCAGTGTGCCCTTTCAGGTCTGTCCCTTCCTGTGCTGTGCGACAGCAGCGCCTTTATTCCCAGCACGAAGGAGGCAGAGGAGAGTGGATCTCTGTGAGTTCAAAGCCAGCCTGGGTTCAATCTAGCCAAGGCTGCATGGGGAGACCCTAGACCCTGTCTAAAATAAAATGGGGTGGGGCGAGTGCTTGTTCAAGGTCAGCTAGCACCAGACAATTAAGAGTTCATTTCTCCCCATGCCCCTGTGGGCCCTCATCCCAGCTTGACTGTGACCCCAGGCCTTCCCATCTGCCATCCTCCTGTCTCCATTCCTGAACCTTCCGTCCTAGCACACCCCCCTACTGGTAACTGTCATGTAAGTGTGTTTATATCTTCACCCCACACCTCTCTTTATACCTGTTCCTGCCTATTTCATCCCATTGATAATCTCCTCATCTGGGGACAAGGATTAATAGCCAGCTTTGAGTCCCATTGGTTCCTGACTCTCCCTGTCCCTTAGCCAGTGCCCAGCCCGTGTTTATGGGGCCTCGATCTCACCACTGTGGATGACAAGCGAGCTATACTTCCCAACAGGCTAGTCCAAACAGCAGCAAATATCACCCACTGGCTGGGTCTTGTCCCTAAGCTCTTCTCCTTCTGTCCTCGGGACTCAGCTGTCATGGCCCTAGTAGAAGACTGTGTCCCTTTGCCTGCTGGGACTTCTGAGGAGGGAACAGAGTGGAGCCTGGCAGGGAGGGAGGAGGGAGGCAGAGCCTATGAGCTGGCAGACAGAGGGCGTGTGTTCCTCTGCCAGCACACTTCCTGGGTTTCCATTGCAGGAAGTTTGGCACCTGCCTATCGGTGCCACTGATACCCAGGCTGGTGCAGGCGACTTTTAGCCAGGACAATCCCCCCGCTGGGAGCAGCAGGAGGAGGTGGCACAGAGGCCAGGGGTGCAGGACAGCCGGTGAGTGGTAGCAGCTGGACCCCGTACTGCCTCAGACTGTCCCAAGCGTAGAGTGGATGTGGGGAAGCCGGGGTCCTAGATTTGGTGCCTTTGACCTTGGGTAAGGCCCTGAGTCAAGCCTCATTGTTTGACTGGATGGAGCAGTGGGGCAGACGTGGAACAGGATGGAAGTACAGAGAACCGGCTGGTTCCTTTCTGACTTGCTAGCATTCTGAGGTTCTGCAGCTACATGTGTCTGAACTCCCTGCATGGCACCAGCTGTCTCTGACTCAGTGGCGCCCTCCTTTTCCAGCAGAGGTTAAGAGTCTTCATACCCATTGCAGAGGCCCCGTTGCCAGGTTGGGAATGCACCCAAGGGGCCCTTGGGCACAGGTAGCCTCAGTGTAGTCCCGGGCTCCATCCTTGGCTCTTATCTGGGGACAGTGGCAGCGATCCAGCCTCTGTGACTAGCAGATTCCTGTGATGCGCCTGAGGGTCACCCTCCGGTCTGGCCTGAATCCAATGTTGCCCCTTGATCCTCGCCAGCTTCAGGGTCTGGTCTGTGGGGTGGGGCAGTTCAGTCCTGGAGTAGAGGCTGGAAGGGTGAAAAGACAGGTTTGAAAGGGACACAAGAGGAGCCTCTAGAGATGGCAGCTACTGTAGTGACCGTCTTTGTTACTCCACACTGGCAGGAAGAACCAAATGGAAAAGGCTGGTGACAAAGGGAGGGAAGGCTGTTAAAGGGGTGTGTGGGGCTTAGGTGGGGAGGAGGAGAATGGAGATGAGCGCCCCCACTCTGACCTCTGTAAGTGGTCCCTTTAACAGTAATCCCAGGACCACTGTGAGGAGTGGTTCCCTGTGGGCTCTACCAGAGGGGACCCAATCCCGACTGGCTGCCCCGCCCCTCCGATGACTCTGGGTCCAGCTCTCCCCTGTCCCCTCTTCTATTGTGACTTTTAATCAAAAGAACAATCTTCTCGCCTGGGAATCAGACCCAGATTCTGTTCCCCAGCAATGTCCTGAGGCCTCTGGGGACCTGCACAGCCCAACCCCAACCCAGGCCCCAGGCCCCAGGGCTCTGCTTCTTCAGGGGCCAGTAACAGGGCCAGGAAGCAAACAGGTGGCAGGATTATCTTCTCCTGGTCTCCTGTTGGGCATCCTCCCACCGTGGGACCTGAGACCCACTTGTAGAGGGGATTAATAGCCTCTGGCAGGCAGTGACAGCTCAGGACAGCATACCCAGGTGACTTGCCTCACTGGGGTCTCTGGGGACCCTTGCCCCAGGCATTCCTTGAAAAAGCCCCATGACCCCAGCTTATGTGAGTCCCGGATTCTCTTGCATTATTGCTTTAACTCCAAGCCAAGAGGTGGGCAGTGGGGACCCCCTTGTAGGAATTGAAGAACCTGAGGTTTAGGGAGATAGGTAACAGTCCCAGGTCATGCGTCTAGCCTCACTCAGGACCCTGGATGTAAATTCCCGACCCCCACCAGATGGGGCAGGTGCCCCCCCCTCCCGCCCCGCTCATCCAGGTGACCTAGGGGGAAGGTGACCAAGGATCCCCCGGGTGCACGGTGGTGGTGGTCGACGGAGGAGGAGGAGCCACGGGAAGGGGGAGGAGTGGCGGGAAACAAAAGGAGGGGGCGCGGCTGCAGGTGGGGGGGCAGGTAGGGCGAGCCCGCGCCCCCTCCCCGAGCGTCACCTTTTATGGTAAGGCGCGCGGGGCGGCAGGGCGGAGGGAGGCCGGGGCGGGAGCGAGGGGCGGAGGCGCAGCGCCGGCGGAGGCCGGAGCGTGGGGCAGGCAGCAGGTAAGTGGGCTCAGCGTGGGGGTCCCAGCTATGCGCCCCAGGCAGGATCACCCGCAGGTGGCGGCACGGGCAACTCTCATCCACCGCGCTAGACCCAACGTTGCGCTGCTGGGGGGCTCGGGGCGGGTACTACCCTGTGTTCTCTTGTCCCTGTGTGTCCCGGGATCTCAGTCTTTAGGAACTCCAGGAGGTTGAGTGCGGGACGGTGCGGGGGGCTCATGTCCCTGCTCTGAAGTGGGACGGGGCTAGCAGGGCGGAAGCTCCTGCACAAAGAGGACAGCGTTCCGCACATGGATTGAATTATAATTGCCGCAGTGACCCGGCCAGCTGCCCCGCTTCGCTGCTGCTCCAGGGCGAGCTCGCGCGCGCTCGCGCAGGGGGGGGTTTCCTCTGCTCCCATGGCCTTGGAGCCCTGTTCCCAGCTCCAGTCAGGGGACGGGAAGAAAGGTCCTGGGGTCTTCTTGCCCGGCCTGGCAGGGTCTGGGAATGAGCGATCCCCAAGGTGTGTGCAGCTACTCCCCCCTCTCTAGCCCAGACCTGAGGTCCCAGGGGAGAGACTGGGCAGCGCCCAGATTCCAGCTCTCAACAATGGAGACCACTGTCCTCCAGCCTCAGGACTCCGCCTGCCCTCTGAGGTTGAATGACCAGCTGGTCTCCTCGCAGCCACCCTCCAGGGCAGATTTCTATTCACTTGATGAGTAAAACACCAGGCCCAGAGAGGTTGGGTGACTGCATCAAGGTCACCCAGTAGGAGCAATGGCCGGGGAGAACGCAGCTCTGTGCCTCTTCCTCCTCCGGAGTAGGCGAGAGGATGAGTGACCCTTACTTTTTGAGACTTGAAGGTCTCTTATGGGAGTGAGTGAGGACATACACTCTCCTCCCCGCCTCCAGCAAAGTTTAATTTTGGCTCCAAACTTAGATTGCTTTTGGGGGCTGTGTGAAAGAAAGAGCGATGCTCTTTCCGCCGTGGCTTTAGAAGTGCGGGCAAAGAATTAGGAACGAGGGAACTACTCCAGGCACATCCCCTACCAGGGGCTGTAGCTAAAGCTGGCCCTGGCTGGCTGGCCGGCTCTCAGCCTTCTTCCTTCCTTTTGACAGGAAATGACTCTCCTTCCCTTTGTCCCCACTTTCTCCGCTTACTCAACTGAATCTGGGTGTCTGATTTGCCCTCCGGGGGAGGAAGGATGGGGGTGGAGGGTCGGCTGGGAAGTTGTCATACTGCGCCTCCCCCATCTCCAGGGTGAACTCTGGGGCAGTGAGACCAGAGAGAAGCGCCAGCAGGCTCTCCTTTTGGGACCTGACAGGGCTCTGAAAATCCCTAGCTGCTCGAGGTCTCCTCGACTGCTTGACAACGTTAGGGGCGGGTATGGCTGCCCAGCTGTGAACATCTGGCCTCCATGCTGGATATTGCAGAGAAAGCAGGCATGATGGAGTGGGGATCAGACTAGCGGGGAGGAGGTGGGGAGGGTTGGGAAGAGCCACAGCCTGTCCCAGGGGACCCGCCTAGAATGTGTTGACCGCAAGAAACTGGTCTGGGTTGGGTCATTTGGGGGAAGGGGAGGGGCTTGGGGGGAAGGAGGAGGCTTGTAAGGTCCAGGGAGAAAAAGTTCAAGGATGCCCATGGACATCCTTGCAGGATTCTCTGGTAGGATTCAAGCCTGCTGGAGGGCCAGGGAAGCACACTTGAATTCTGGTTGGGACTGTGACAGAGCCTCTCCCCACAGCTGAGGTGTGCGGTCTGAGCTCTTGACTTTATAAAATGTCCGCTAAGGTTTCTGTAATTTCTGTTAATTCTGAAGACCACTTACAAAACAAGTTCTATTTATGGGTCCGGGGTTGAGACAGGGTCTAACTATGTAGCACCAGGCTGGTCTTGAACTCATGGAAATCCTCCTGCCTCAGCCTCCTGGGTGCTGAGATTACGAGTGTGTATTATCATTTGTGGCTTCAAAATACTTTCGAAGGGTTTCTGTGTGTGTAGCCCTGGCTATCTTGGAACTCACCATGTAGACCAGGCTGGCCTCATACTCACAGAGGGAAATCCACATCTGCTGTTAGTCTCTTGGGGCTGTCCCCCTCAGCTGTCCAGCCCCACTGCTTGAGACTAACCAAATTCCCCCCAAGGGCTTGTGACTGGGCTTCAGGCGTATCCTGGTGGCCCATACAGAAATAGGGAGGGGGATAAAGGACACATTTTTAGCCATGAGTACTATGATTGGGTGCCAGAGAGGACTTCTGTGGCCAGTTCATCCACAGTGACCCACCTAGACCTCAGCCCCAGAGGCTGCTATGTCCTTCCCAACATGGCGGTGCCTCCTCTGCACAGATCTCTGCTTCCACACCTGCTCTGTGAGGCTGCTCTCTGGCTCTTGACGCAGACAGCTGAAGGCAGGCGAGGTTACCTGAGGGGATCAGACACAGGGATAGTGAGCCATCAGGTGCTGTGATGAGCTGTCCTTACCCTGAGGAAGCCACAGATGGGAGTCAGGGGAGGCTCTGTAGAGTACAGGTGAGGTTTGAACTGGGTCTCAGAGAGCTGAAATTAACTCTGTAGGAACAGGAAGGGAAAAGCTCACTGGACCCTCTAACAGGAAGAAAGGGCTAAGGTAGTTAAAAATAACTCTAGGGGCCAGGCGCGGTGGCGAAAACCTTTAATCCCAAGGAGGCAAATCTTGAGATCAAGGCCAGAACACCCAGTCTTACACAGAGAAACCCTGTCTTGAAAAACCAAAACCAAATAATAATAACTTGAGGAGGGTTGGGGTGTGGCTCGGTGGTAGAGCATGTACAAGATCCCAAGGCTATCCCCAACATCAGAGAGATGGGCAGGCTTGGGGGAGATTGAAGCCATGGAAGCTCAGACTTTGCCCTTCTGAGGAAACAAGGAACCTTAAAAACTCTGAAGCAGCAGGGCAGTGGTGACGCACGCCTTAAATCCCAGCACTCAGGAGGCAGAGGCAGGCAGATCTCTGTGAGTTCGAGGCCAGCCTGGTCTACAGAGTTCTAGGACAGTCAGGACTGCACAGAGAAATCTTGTCTCAAAAAACTTAAGCACAAGAGAAACAATCGGATTTATGCTATGGGAAAATTGGGGTTAGGAGGTGGAGCAGAGTGAAAATTCTACCATGAGGCAGAATCAAGAATGTCCTGGTTTGGGGGCTGGGTGGAGAGGGCAGAAGAGAACTGAGTGGTCACCTGCATGGCTCCAGTGCTGTGTGATCCTGGACAAGGAACTTGATTTCTCTGAGTCTTAGTTTTCTCATGCACCAGATTGGGTGATCACAGAGTGTTGTTGGGTGCTCAGGGCAGCATGGGAACTGAGTAGGTCTTTTACCCATCTCGTCACTCTTACGTTGCTGTTTTCTTCCAGTGGAGCTGGCCTGAACCTTGGACCTTGTCTTCCAATAGAATCCATATCTCAGGTGAGGGAGGGGCCGTTGGCAGCTATCAGGCCTGTATACTGTCAGCTGCCTGGGCTGGGCTCTGGAGACGGTGGCCAGGGAAGGTGTTTTCTGAGTCTGCAGAGCTGTTCCATAGGCCACTGGGAGGGGCCTTCAGGGTGCATGGGCCCCTGTGACCTGGCCACCCGGTAACCACCTGGCCTCTCGGAAGGCGTCCCCTGCCCCTCCTACATCTGTCCCTTCCTTTCCTTCTCACTGCACAACGAGGCTGGCTTACAACTCACCATGCCTTAGTGCCACCTCCGGAGGAATTGGGTGTTGGGCGGGGCCCACCAGCACAGCGAGGTTGCCTCCTGAGAGAAAATAGGTTCTGGGAAAGTTCTTCTGTGGACAGCAGGGTACACTGTCCACCTGAACCCCTGTGCCCCCAGCCCTCCACAGGATCCGCTGATCATGGCCTCCAAGTCTGAAAAGAGGGTGGCCTCTTCGGTGTTTATCACCCTGGCACCCCCACGGCGTGACGTAGCTGTGACTGAGGACGTGGGCCAGGCGGCTTGTGAAGTCAGACGTGCCCGGCCCTGGGAGACCCCTGCTCCCATGAAGACCCCCGGGGCCGCCTTGAGCAGGAAACCCAGTGCTGGGGCACCGCCTGGCAGAATTAGCGCCTCGATCCCTGCAGCCCCACCCCAGCTGGCCAATGGAGGTAAGAGTGGCCCTAAGGGGACCAGGACAGACGCGACACCAAAGCAGGGAGGAAAGGGCAGGCTCTGGGTTACTCATTCGTTCAGTGCCTACTGTGTGGCTGGCCTACTATGGAACCCACCAGCCTGCACCTGAGTCCTGGCTCCTCTGAGCTCTGTGATCTTGTAGGTCACTTAAGTGCTCTGTGTCTCAGTGTCAAAAACTTGGGAGTGTAGTTGTGAGGATTAAGAGCATTAACGCAGGACCAGCAAGATGGCTCAGCAGGTAAATGTGCTCACTGGGCAAGCCTAAAGACCAGAGTTCAATCCCCAGAACCTACGCAGAGACAGATCGACTCCTGCAAGTTGTCCTCTGACCTCCGCACACACACACACACACACACACACACACACACACACACACACATGGATACACACACAGATGCACACAAGCACACTAAGTAAAGTAATTGAAAAATACATATTAAGCCTGATGGTGCCGGTGCAGGCCTTTAAACCCAGCACTCAGGAGGCAGAGGCAGGAAGATCTCTGTGAGTTCGAGGTCAGGCTGGTCTACAAAGTGAGTTCCAGGAAAGGCTCAAAACCTACACAGAGAACACCTGTCTTGAAAAACCAAAAAAAGGAAAGAAAAATACATATCAAATGTCAGAGGAGCAAGCATTACAACGGAGCCTGGTGCCATCCAGGAGAAGAGGTAACTCTTTCTGAGGTTCCTCTGAAACCTCTGCTGGATGGGGGACCTGGCAACAGGTACGGAGGCCCTGAGGCAGAAATGAGCTTGGAGGGTCTCAAAGATGTTCTCACTCAGTGCTTGGGTGTTGCTGCTTGCCTGCTACTCGGTTTCTTTCTTTCCGTGCACTGGCGCACATGCGTGAGAGAAGAGATCGGTGGACAGTCTGTGGGTGTTGGCTCTCTCCTTCCAATCCCCACGTGGGTCCTGGGGAGTGAACTCAGGTCATCGGGCTCTGTACTGTCTTTCCCCACCGGGCACTTCACTAGCCCTGTGATAGTGTGTGTGTGTGTGTGTGTGTGTGAGAGAGAGAGAGAGAGAGAGAGAGAGAGAGAGAGACAGACAGACAGACAGACAGACAGACAGACAGACAGACAGAAGTGTCTTTCCCCACCGGGCACTTCACTAGCCCTGTGATAGTGTGTGTGTGTGTGTGTGTGTGTGTGTGTCTGAGAGAGAGAGAGAGAGACAGAGAGAGAGACAGAGAGAGAGACAGAGACAGACAGACAGAAGTGAGGGGAGACAGAGACAGACAGACAGACAGGAATGAGAGGACAACCCTAACGAGCTGGAGAGAATGAGCAGGACAGCTTCCACCACGTGGGTCCCGGGGTGGAGCTCAGGCCGTCAGACTTGGGTTAAAGACGCTTGTCAGCTGAGACACCTCACACCCCGCCCACTTACCTTCTGTTGGTCTTCCTCAGCTCATTGTCCCACAAGTGAGACGTAGCTTGGAGAGGACACGGCCCTTTGATACCTCCGAGAGAGCTGGATCCTGACTCACAGCTTGCATGGAGCGTGGCTCCCAGTTTCCCACACTCCCAGCTGCGATGGGAGTCACACCAGTGTCACCTCTGGGCTTGTTCCAACACAACCGAGTCCCACCTCAAAGCCGGAGCTGAGGCTTTAATTTGCATTTTTTTCTGCTTCCCTGGGTAGATTCTTTGTGAATCTTTATTTAGTTTTTAAAAGATTCATAGGCCGGGTGTTCGTGGCGCACGCCTTTAATCCCAGCCCTCGGGAGGCAGAGGCAGGTGGATCTCTGTGAGTTCGAGGCCAGCCTGGTCTACAAAGCGAGTTCCAGGACAGTCTCCAAGTCAATACAGAGAAACCCTGTCTCGAAAAAAAAAAAAAAAGATTCATTTTATGTGTATGAGCGCTTGTGTGTCTGTGCAGCACGTGAGTGCAGTGTACGCAGGGGCCAGAAGAGGGCACTGTATCCCCTGGAGCTGGAGTTATAGAAAGCTGTGGGTACCCATGTAGGTGCTGGGAACCAAACCCAAATCCTCTGGAAGAGCAACCAGTGGTGTTAACTATTGACCCTATGTGACTCCATCTAGTCTTGAACTCCTGAGCTCAGATATTATTTTTCCTCAGCCTCCCGTATACCTGAGACAGACATGTGCCAACTTGCCAGGCTTTAAAAACAAAACAACAACAAAACCCTTCAAGCCAGAAGATGGGGGTACATACCTTTCTTGTTTGTAAAAGCTCTAGCTGTCCTGGAACTCGATCTGTAGACCCCACTGGCCTCAAACTCACAGAGATCCGCCTGCCTTGGCCTCCTGAGTGCTGGGATTAAGGCCTCCCTTCCTTCCTTTCTTTTGAAACAGCTTGGAACTCAATCTGTAGACCAGGGTGGCCTGGAAATTACAGAGGTCTGCCTCTGCCTCCCAAATACTGAGATTAAAGGCATGTGCCACCACCACCTGGCACCTTTAAATTTCTTTTGTCTTTTTTTGTTTTGTTTTGTTTTTAAAGATTTATTTACTTATTACATATACAGTGTTCTGTCAGAAGAGGGCACCAGATTGAATTATAGATGGTTGTGAGCCACCATGTGGTTGCTGGGAACTGAACTCAGGACCTCTGGAAGAGCAGTCAGTGCTCTTAACCTCTGAGCCATCTCTCCAGCCCCCTCTTTTGTCTTAATATTTATTTTAGCTTTAGTTTTAGTCTGTGTGTATGCAGGTGAGTACAGGTGCTCATGGAAGCCAGAGGTGTTAGGTCCCTCTGCAGGAGGGTTACAGCTGCTTGTGAGCCTCTTGACGTGGGTGCTGGGAAACCAAGCTTGGGTCCTCTGCAGTGGCAGTGTCCTCTGCAGTGGCAGTGTCCTCTGCAGTGGCAGTGTCCTCTGCAGTGGCAGTGTCCTCTGCAGTGGCAGTGTCCTCTGCAGTTGCAGTGTCCTCTGCAGTGGCAGTGTCCTCTGCAGTGGCAGTGTCCTCTGCAATGACAATGCTCGGTCTTAACCATGGAGCCACCTCTCCAGCCCTCATTTTAAAATGTATTTATTTATTTTATGTGCATGGATGTGTTTGCCTGTGCTGTGAGAGAATGTTAGATGCCCTGGAACTGGAGTTGCAGACAGGTGTGAGCCACTGTGTGGGTGCTGGAAACTGAACCCCAGTCCTCTGGAAGAGCAGCCAGTGCTCTTAACCTCTAGCCAGCCCACCAGCTGAAATTTTGCTTCATTTTTTAAAAGTATTTATTTTTTTTCTGAGACAGGGTTTCTCTGTGACTTTGGAGGCTGTCCTGGAACTCACTCTGTTGACCAGGCTGGCCTTAAACTCACAGAGATCCACCTGCCTCTGCCTCCAGAGTGCTGGGATTAAAGGCATGTGCCACCACTGCCTGGCAAGTATTTATTTTTAATTTATGTGCATTGGTGCTTTCCCTGTATATAGGTCTGTGTAAAGGTGTCAGATACCCTGGAATTGGAGTTACAGACAGTTGTGAACTGCCATGTGGGTGCTAGGAATTGAACCTAGGTCTCCTGGAGGAACAGCTAGTGTTCTTAACTGCTGAGCCATCTCTCCAGTCCCGATTTTTTCTTTCAATTTTTTTTCCAAGACAGGGTTTCTCTGTGTAGCTTTGGAGCCTGTCCTATAACTAGCGCTGTTGTAGCTGGTCTTGAACTCACAGAGATCTCCTGCCTCTGCCTCCCGAGTGCTGGGATTAAAGGCATGTGCCACCACGGCCCGGCTGATTTCTTTCATTTGTGTGTGTGTGTGTGTGTGTGTGTGTGTGTGTGTGTGTGTGTGTGTGTGTGTGTGTGCCTCTGTATGTGAGTGCAGTACTGTCAGAGGCCAGAAGAGGGTGTAGGATCCCTTGGAGCTGGAGCTACAGGTGGCTGTAAGCTGCCTGATCGGGTTTTGAGACTTGATCTCGGATCCTCTATAAGAGCAGTAAATGACTTAATTGCTGAGCTACCTCTCCAGTCCTACAGTCCCCATTTTTTATTAATTTTAAATTACATTTATGCATTGTGTGTGTGCCGTGGCATTTGTATGTGAACTCAGAGAACAACTTGTAGGAGTCTGTTGTCTCCCTCCACCTTGTAGGCCCTGGGAATGGAACTCAGGTCCTCAGACTTGGCAGGAAGCACCTTGGCCCACTGAGCAATGGCACTGTCCCACAAAACACACTTTCACTGACCCATAGTAATTGTACATGTTCCTGGGATACTGTGTCATATTTTACAGCTTGTAGGCGGCATGCAATCATCAGGTTAGGGCAATTAGCATATCCACTGCCTCAAATGCTTAGCTCTTTGTGGTGGGAATATTTAGAATCCCGTTAGCTACTTAGCAATGTGCAAGAGACTGTTGCCAAGCGCAGTAGGAGCTCTTCTCTTTCAGGGTATGGTGGCACAGGCCCGAAATCCCAGCTCTCAGGAGCCTGAGGAAGGAGGATTGGGAGCTAGAAGCTAGTCTGTGTGATCTGGTCAGAAAGGGGGAGAGGGAGGAGAGCTGATTTTCCTTCCACCCAGCCGCACCTGGGACCGGCTAATGCTCTGAGTCCCGTGAGGATGAATGAGTACAGGACACTTGTTCTGTTCAGGGAGGTGAGGCTCTCAGCCTAGGATAGTGATCCAGGTCTGTGCGGCAGTGCGGAAATTACCAGAAGCTGGAGGTAGAGGCAGGCGTAGTCAGCCCCCAGCCACCTGTGTTTAAACAGCCCCGCCCCGCCCCGCCCCTCAATCCCGCCCCGCCCCCACGATTCTGCCATTCTACTGCCTACTCTGGGCCAGTCTGGAACACACATCCCACTGTAAGGCCCCGCAGCCCTGGGGAGGAGTGGTCAGTGAGGAGAGGGTGGAGTAGGCTAGGAAACCTGACCCCAGAGAAGTGACGGGAGCTTGCTGAGCTGAGCACGGCCCAGGTCTTCGGGCTCTGGGAAGTCTAGAGCTTTCTGCACTTGTCCTCTTTTCCTCCACGGTTATTTGCATGTATAGGCGTGTGCCGCAGGTCGGAGGGCAGCTTGGAGGGGTCTGTTCTCTCCCGTCCTTTGGATCCTAAGGATTGAGTTAAGGTCAGGTTGTCAGGCTTCATAGCAAGTTCCCATAAGCCACCACCTCCTCTTCCTCTTTTTTTTTTTTTTTTTTTTTTTTTTGGTTTGGTGGGTGGTTTTGTTTATTTAAAACATGTTCTTTGTTTTGTTAATTATTTATTTATTTTTTGTTTTTACATTCCAACCAAAGTTTCCCCTCCCTCCCTTCTTCCCAGTCCCTCCTCTTCACCTCCCTCTCCCCTCCCCTCCCCATCCTCTCCTCATCTCTGTCTCCAGATACTGGAGAGCATGGATCTCAGCCAGCCATGGTATATCAGGTTGCAGTAAGACTAGACACCTCCTTTAGGCTAGATGAGGAAATCTGGTGGGAGGAAAGGGTCCCCAGAGCAGGCAACAGAGTCAGAGGCAGCCCCTGCTCTCACTTAGGAACCTCACACAAAGACCGAGTTACACTATTGCAGCATATATGCTGGGGGTCCAGGTCAGTCCCATGCAGACTCCCTGGTTGTTGGTTCCATCTCTGTGAGCCCCGGTAAGGCCCAGTTAGTTGGTTCTGTGGGTTTTCTTGCGGTGTATGTTCTTAATGTATAGACCAAGCTGGCCTGGAACTCATAGAGATCCACCCGCCTCTACCCCCATGCCCTGGGGATTAGAGACCTGAGCCACTGTGCTGACCTCACAGGGCCACTATTGACTGTGCTGCTCCTGTACCTGACAGTGACAGAAGCCATCACAGTTCCTTCCCGAGACTCCCCCACCCCTGCCTTGTCCCCATGAAGGGAGCTGGCACCCTACTGGCTGCAGTCTCACAGTGGTGATCTTGATGGTGATGATGGTTCGTGGGGACAGGGCTATGACAGTGGTGGCCAAGCCTGCCCCTCCTCTTATCCCCCACAAGCCCAGCAATCCGTCTTTAGGATCCAAGGCCCTAGCTTTCCCCCTCCAGCCTCCTCACACTCAGCTCACTAAGAGGAGCCCAGGCCACCTGTGCTAGTAGTGGGACGGTCCCATGTAATGTCTGACTCCAGGCTCTGTGTGTGCCGTCTCGTGGAGGTGGAGCTGGGCTGGTATAGTGCTTAGCTTATGTACACATGCACGCACGCATGCACGCACACACCAAAGAACCTTTGTGAAAGTAGGGCTAGCCCAGCCTCTCCGAGTACTGGGATTAAAGGTGTGCACCATCACCTGGCATTGCTCACTTTCCAAAGGAACAATTTAAGACTCAAAGAGTTGCCACTCTTGCCTGACGACCCACAGCAAGCCAGTGGCAGCCATCCAGGGTGGATCGGGGTCTGGAGCCAGACCCGAGCCTTTACACACTGCTGCTTGGCCTTCTAGAAGGGTGAGTAGACCTTGTGACCTTCGGGGAATCTGGACAAGCCATCTCCTCTCCCTCTGTAGGATGCTCTCCTCCACCACCTTCCCTGAATGATGAGGACCTAGACCTCCTCCCACCTCCTCCACCGCCCCCTTCGGCTTACCTGCCTCTCCCTGAAGAGGAGCCTCCTGCCCTGATGGGGTCATCACTCATTTCTGACTTGGAGCAACTACACCTGCCCCTGCCCCCACCTCCACCCCTACCACAGGTACTTCGAGTGTCCCCAAGCCTCCTCGGCCCCTAGGTGGGTGGGGGACCTGGGCCTTTCCAGTATTATCAAGGGGGACGTGGTTTGGTCCCTTCTTCTTGAAGACCATTGGTCTTCAAACCTCTTCCGAGGATTTTCAAGGTTTCTGGAGAGACATGTCCCTCGTCCTCTTTGTTCCTTAGTTACCCACTCTGCTCCAAGACATGCACTGGTTCCGAGCCAAATCTTCACACTGCATAAGAAGACAATTAGGCTAGGCGGTGGTGGCGCACGCCTTTAATCCCAGCACTCGGGAGGCAGAGGCAAGCAGATCTCTGTGAGTTCGAGGCCAGCCTGGTCTACAGAGCGAGTGCCAGGACAGCCTCCAAAACAATACAGAGAAACCCTGCCTCATAAAACAAAACAAAGCAAAACAAAAAAAGACAATCCTCTGCCTTTCGTATAGAGGGTTGTCAACCTGAGTGGTGTCCTGGGTCACGTCTATGTCACTCCAGCTCAGTGTCAGTGGGTGGGACATGTCATCCCCAGGATATTCTCAGGAACAGAAGTCAAGGTGGGCCTGATAGTTGCAGGCCCATAATCCCAGATACAGAGAAGGCTGAGGCAGGTTGACCACAAGGTCTAGCCTAGACTACAAAGTGAGTGCATAGCAAGCCTGGGCAACTTAGTGAGACCCTGTTTCAAACTAAAAGGTAGAGAAAAAGTTGGGATATAGTTAATTCAGTGGTAGAGTGTTCGCTAACTAGCATGAGACAGTCATTTTGGTGGAGGGAGCCCCAGTCAGGGAGCAGGACGGTCCTTGACTCTTGCTGCCATGGTAACCATCCTGCTAAGCTATAGAGGCAGGACACTTGCTTCTCCAGCCTCAGTTTCCTCATCTGTACAATGGGACTAATTGTACTTGGAGCCACCTAGACAAAGAGGCAAGCTGAGAGGGTCTGGCAGGGTCCCCACCAGCTCATCTCTCTCCTATCTCCTTGATCTATGTCCCCTCAGGCGCCACCCAAGGGATCTTCTGTCCGGCCTCTGCCCAGTCACCTCAGACCCATGGAAGAGGAGCTACCCCCTCCTCCGGAAGAGCCTGTCACCTTTCCAGAGAAAGAGGCATCCACAGGTACGGCCACTAACTGGGTTTCTGATCCTCCTGGGCCCAGGGTGGCTTCTCATAGGAAGTGGGGGAGTAGGGTCCCCTGCTCATTGACCGGGATCGTCTGTATGGTGTGCAACCACTGAATGTCCCGTTGCTGCCGTGCTTGCTTCGGGTTTGTTGTTGGTTTTGAGATAGGGACTCATGTAGACCAGGCTAGCCTTGAATCCCGTATGTGGCCAAGGATGTCCTCCTCAGGTTCTACCTGCCTCGCCTTAGGAGTGCTGGGGTTAGTTTGCCACTGTGCCTGGTTTATATGGTACTGCAGGTGGAAGCCAATGCTTCATCCTCGGAAAGCACATTCTCCTACTGCCCCAGCGACATCCTAACCTTTGTGTGCTTGTGTTGAGACAAGGTCTCTTTCTAGCCAAATCTGGCCTTGGACCTGAGATCCTCCTGCCTCAGCCTCCTGAGTGTCAAGATTACAGGATAGCTGGTGCTAGTTAGCCTGGAACTCACTTGTGAAGTCAGGCAGGCTTCAAAGTTGTAGCAATCCTCCTGCTTCAGCCTCAATGCTAGTGAACTACTATGCCCAGCTTTCTGTCCCTGGGGCCCACATAGTAAAACAGACTCTCAGAGGTTGTCCCCTGATCTCCACACAAGGTGGACATACATTCGCCCGCGCGCGCGCGCGCGCGCGCACACACACACACACACACACACTCTCTCTCTCTCTCTCAATCTCTCAATCAATCAATAAAAAAATCAAAGTTTTGTAGTCATTTTCCCATTTATTCATGTCTGTGTGTATGATGTAGGAGGATTAGAAGTTTACATTCGGGACTGGAGAGATAGATGGCTCTGTGGTTAAGAGCACTGGCTGCTCTTCTAAATGACCAGGGTTTAATTCCCAGCACCCACATGGCAGATCTAGTTTCAGGGGATACTGTGCCCTCTTCTGGCACCAGACATGCATGTCTTATACAAATATACATGAAGGCAAATGCATAATACATATAAAATAAAGCATATTTTAAAACGAAGTTTAAGGAGCTGTTGGTGGCGGCTGACTTTAATCCCAGCACTCGGGAGGCAGAGGCAGGTAGATCTCTGTGAGTTCGAGGCCAGCCTGGTCTACAAGAGCTAGTTCTAGGACAGCCTCCAAAGTCACAAAGAAACCCTTTCTCGAAAAACCAAAAAAAAAAAAAGTTTAAGGTCATCTTCAGCTACATAGTGAGTTGGGGGCTACCCTGAGCTACAGAAGACTTTGTCTGAAAAAAAAATTACAAAGCCAACCAGGCATGGTGATACATACCTTTAATACCAGCAGTTATGAGGCAAACACAGGAGGATGTCTGAGTTTGAGGCCGGCCTTGTCTACACTGCAAGTCCCACGCCAACTAGGGGTACACACTGAGACCATGTTTCTCCATGCCTCCCCCACCTACCAAACACACACACACACACACACACACACACACACACACACACACACACACACGTTTCTGATTTTGCCCTTTGAGCTTTGGGACTGGGGACCCTGTCTGTAGCAGCCACAGGGCCGTCCTCATTGCTGGCTTCCCCAGTGCATCTGAGTGGGTTTCCATTTCCCGGTGCAGCAGCTCTTTAAGCTTTTTTTAAGGCTGTGTGGCAGTCCCCAGTAGGAACATAGGTGTGGTGGGTTACACAGCCGCCTCCTGATGGATTTGTAGGTGGTTTCTTGCCGTAGCTACACAGAGCTGACTCACCTAGCTGTGGGGTTTTCTGGGGTAAATTCCTAGAAGAGGAAATGCCCTATAAAAAGGCTGTTTTTGATCTTGTATTTTTGTCAAATCACCTTCCTTAGTCAACCCAGCCTACGTGCACCCACCAAGAGGGCTGAGTTGTTTCTAGAAGCTTCTACAGCACTCTGTGCCTTGTGTAATTGAGCTGTGACCTGCTTACTCAGGTTCTGCCCCAGGCACGGAAGACACCGTTGAGTCTAATGCAGTGTCCTCTTTCCTGGGTCACAAAGCAAGACAAAGGCCAACTGTTTTCCTAAGTATGTCATTTACCTTTCAACTTCCGGCAGATTTTGTCACACACACAAAAAAGGTTTTGTTTGTTTTTGTTTTTAAGGTACAGTCTTACTATATAGCTCAGGCTAGCCTGGGCCTCTTGTCCACTATCCTTAGCCTTCAGGGTGCTGAGATTACAGGTGTGAGTCACCACACCAAACATCTTGTTTTGTTTTGTTTTTCTTAAGATTTATTTTAGCCAGGTATGATGGTGCACACCTTTAATCCTAGCACTCAAGAGGCAGAAGTAAGACCTCTGAGTTTGAGACCAGCCTGGTCTCTAGATCAATTTGTTATTGTTGTTATTGGCTTTTCAAGACAGGGTTTCTCTGTGTAGCCCTGGCTTTCCTGGAACTCACTCTATAGACCAGAGATTTGCCTGCCTATGCCTCCCAAGTACTAGAATTAAAAGTGTGCACCACGGGGGCTGGAGAGATGGCTCAGAGATTAAGAGCATTTGCTACTCTTCCAGCGGTCCTGAGTTCAAATCCCAGCCACCACATGGTGGCTCACAACCATCTATAATGAGATCTAGTGTCATCTTCTGACCTACAGGCAAACATGCAGACAGAATACTATACATAGTAAATGAAATAAACCACAGAAAAAGTGTGCACCATGAAGCCTGACTATTTTTATTATTTTTAATTTTATGTTTTGTGTGTATGTGTGTGTGTGTGTGCATTGCATATGTGCACATTTGTATGTACACATGGGTGCACTACCCTGGGAGTCCACAAGAGGGCACTGGATCCCTGGAGTTAGAGGTAGCTGTGAGCGGACTGATGTGGGTTGGGGGAATTGAACTCAGGTCCTGTGTAAAGCAGAGTGGGTTTTTAATCATTAAGCCATCTTAGCTCCTCTCTTAGAATTCATGTGACCTCCGTTTTACATATAGATCTTGAGTCAGGATCATCTGGGTGTTGGTATCACTACAGACCCCCTCCACTCTTTTAGAGATGATAAGCTAGATGCCAACACTGCTTCTTTCTTGTCTTGCTGTATAGACCAGGTTGGCCTGGGATTAAAGTGTGCATCAATAGCTGGGTATAGAGGCTGGCAGATCTCTGTAAATTCGAAGTTAGTCTGGTCTACACAGTGAGTTTCAGAACAACCAGGGTTACATAGTGCACCGTGGTGCCCAATACTGTATCTTCGATTTTAGCTTCCCAAATGCTATTCACCCTCCTCCCCAGTGCTCATCATGACCCTCTGTGTTTATCAGTTCAGGAAGGCTTTGAGACTGGGCCCCAGGCACACTGGACATCATATTCTGGGTGGTTACTGGGCACTACCTTCCTGTGCTAATGACAGCCTGTGTCTCCCCGACCCCAGATGTCTGCGGCTTCTGTCACAAGCCCGTGTCTCCTCGGGAACTGGCTGTTGAGGCCATGAAGAGGCAGTACCATGCTCAGTGCTTCACCTGTCGCGTCTGCCGCCGTCAACTGGCTGGACAGAAATTCTATCAGAAGGATGGGCGCCCCCTGTGCGAGCCCTGCTACCAGGTACTTCCCTGAGTGTGGCCGCCAGGCTCCACACGCTGACCCCAGAGTTCCTACGAGAATGGGCGCTGTGAACCCAGCTGAGAGTCAGAAAGGAGAAAACTGACCGGAGTAGGACTCGGTTCCCGTGGCTGCTATAATACTTGTGTCCGCTTCCCAGCGAAGAAAAAAAAAAACCCACTCACTTGGTTGAGAGGTTCCATTGCCAATCTGAGCCTGTGGTGAGGCTGTGCCGCATGACAGGAGCCTCTGCCCGGAGGAAGTGGCTCCCCTCGCGGCCAGCGAACAAGAGGAAGGGACCATGCCACACCCCTAGTAACACAGATCTCCGTTAGGCCCCGCCTCCTAAAGACTCCTCCCAACAGCGCCCCCTTGAGCACGAGCCTGGTAGACTGATGGAGAGCATTCAATATGCAACTGAACCAACTTGAAGCCACCAACTGAACTTGGTGAAAGCAATACACATTTCTCTCTTATAGTTATGGGGGTCATTGGATCCAAATCAAGGTGCCTCCTTCTCTCGAACTGCAGGCTCTGGGAGAGGAGACATTTCCTTGCCTTTTCTAGGTTCTTTTCAGGGTTTTGCTTGCTTGGTTTTTTTAAGACAGGATTTCTCTGTGTAGCCCTGGCTATCCTGGAACTCTCTGTAGACCAGGCTGGCCTCCAACTCACAGAGATCACCTGCCTCCACCTCCCAAATGCTGGGACTAATGGTGTGCCTCTTCTGGGGTGTTTTGAGACTGCAACACAGCGTAATCTCGAACTCCTGACTGTCCTTCCTCCATACCTGAGTAATGAGCCAGGTGTAGTGGTGTCCATGGATTCCCAGTATTCAGGAAGCTGAGGCGGGAGGATGAAGAGTTCAGGAGCTTGGGCTACATAGCAACACCCTGTCTCAAAAAAAAAAAAAAGCAAAGAATTTATATACCAACAATCAATAGTTGTGTTGAACACTTAAGAATTTGTTAGTCCTCCCCCCCAAAAAAAAGAGAAGGAGAGAGTGGTGCACACCTTTAATCCTCATACTTGGAGGCAGAGGCAGGAGGATCTTTGAGTTCAAGGCCAGCCTAGTCTACAAAAAGAGTTCCAGGACAGAGAAACTCTATCTTGGAAAACCAAACAAACAAAAGTTAAGGGGGCTGAGTATGACAGCATACACCTGAAATCCAAATGCTTGGTGGGTGGAGGCAGGGGGTTCAGGAGTTCAGCCTCATCCTTAGCTACATAGTGATTTTGAGTCCAGCCTGGGCGGCATGATACCCCGTGGCAAAAGTATCATAAAAATGGGGGGCTTTTGAAAAATTACTAAGAAGGTGTTTCTTAGGCTGGACGTGTAATTTGGTGGCAGAGTATTTACCTGGCATGCACAAGGACCTGAATTCAGTCCCTAGTACTGAAAAAAAAAAAAAAAAAAGAATAGAAAGAAACGAGGAGCTGGACATTGGTGGCCCACGGCTTTAATTCCAGCACTCGGGAGGCAGAGGCAGGTGGATCTCTATGAGTTCGAGGCCAGCCTGGTCTACAGAGCGAGTTCCAGGACAGCCTCCAAAACAATACAGAGAAACCCTGTCTCGAAAAACTAAAAAAAATTTTTAATGAAGATTAAAAAAAAGAAAGGGAGGAGGAGGGAAGGGAGGGGACGGGGGGGGGAGAGGAGTAGGGGGAGAGGGGAGATAAAGACAACAAGAGGACTGTAGACCTCATGGCTCAGGGTGGGCGTGTCCGTGGCTTGCCTGAAACAGCGGCTCTCTGCCCCAGGACACTCTGGAGAAGTGTGGCAAGTGTGGCGCGGTGGTGCAAAACCATGTCATCCGGGCCCTGGGCAAGACCTTCCACCCAAACTGCTTCACCTGTGTGACCTGTGCCCGGTGCATCGGCGACGAGAGCTTCGCGCTGGACAACCAGGACCAGGTGTACTGCCTGGATGACTTCTACAGGTGGGAAAGGAGACCTGGCCTGGGGGAGCGGGGAGGACGGGGCGGGGCTGGGGGAGCGGGGAGGACGGGGCGGGGCTGGGGGAGCGGGGAGGACGGGGCGGGGCTGGGGGAGCAGGGAGGATGGGGCGGGGCTGGGGGAGCCGGGAGGACGGAGCAGGGCTGGGGGAGCAGGGAAGACGGGGTGAGGCTGGGGGAGTGGGGAGGACGGAGCAGGGCTAGGGGAGCCGGGAGGACGGGGCGGGGCTGGGGGAGCCGGGAGGACGGGGTGAGGCTGGGGGAGCCGGGAGGATGGGGCGGGGCTGGGGGAGCCGGGAGGATGGGGCGGGGCTGGGGGAGCCGGGAGGACGGAGCAGGGCTGGGGGAGCGGGGAGGACCGGGCGGGGCTGGGGGAGCGGGAAGGACGGGGCAGGACTCTGGCCCGGTGGCAGGGCTGGGGGCCAGGCCAATACTTCCTACGACTCCTGTGCTGAGAGAAGCCGCCTTCCTGTTAGGTCCCGCACATGAGTCACGGGCATCTGCCCTTCGCGTTCCCGCACTCTGCCAGGCTCACGTCTGACACGCTCCGTGCAGTCCTCAGGGTTCTTATGCCCAGGAAGTAGAGTGAGAGACTACATTTTACCAGAAGTAGAAACGGAGGGATACAGGAACCAAGGTGCAATGAAGCTTCCGTTTAAGGAGTGGAGCTGGGGGCGTGGCTCGGTTGACAGACTACCTGCCTACTCTGTATAAAGCCCTGGGTTTCATTCCTAGGACCACATAAACCTGAAGTGCAACACTCCAGAGGTAGAAGCAAGAGGGTCAGAAACTTAAGGGCATCCTTGGCTACCCTGGCAAGCTCAAGGCCAGCCTAGGCTATATGACACCATCTCAGGAAAATCAAAAGGACTTGACTTGGGGCCTGGATTTCAGACCCTAGGCTATGTCCCCTCCCCTGAGACCTGGAGTGAGGACTGGGGGTACAGACAAGAGGGAGACTCATGCTTTGTCCCCGTTTGAAAAGAAAGAGGGCCGGGCGTTGGTGGCGCACGCCTTTAATCCCAGCACTCGGGAGGCAGAGGCAGGCAGATCTCTGTGTGTTCGAGGCCAGCCTGGTCTACAGAGCGAGTTCCAGGACAGCCTCCAAAGCCACAGAGAAACCCTGTCTCGAAAAACCAAAAAAAAAAAAGAAAGAGATGGGGCATGGTGATCCATGTCTGTGATGACTGAGGCAGGGGGATTAGCGCTGCCCACCTGAGGTCAGCTTGGAGTGTAAAGCCCTGTCCCAAAAGATAAGCAAACAGTAGCACTCAGAAGGCAGAGGCAGGCGGAGCTCTGTGATTCCAGGTCAGCCTGGTCTACAGAGCAAGTTTCAGGCCAGCCAGGGCTATACGGTAAGACCCTGTATCAAAAATAAGTAAACAAAACAAAAAAAAAGCACAAGGCTGACAAGAAGGCTCGGTGTATAAAAGGGCTTGCCACCAAGCCTAATGACCTGAGTTCAATCCCTGGGACCCACAAGGTGGAGGAAGAGAACTAACTCCTGCATGTGGTTCTTGGACCTCCACGTATAACTGAATAAATACGCTTTAAAAAAAAATTTACATTGCTGGGCGTTGGTGGCGCACGCCTTTAATCCCAGCACTCCGGAGGCAGAGGCAGGCAGATCTCTGTGAGTTTGAGGCCAGCCTGGTCTACAAAGTGAGTTCCAGGACAGCCTCCAAAGCTACAGAGAAACCCTGTCTCGAAAAACCAAAAAAAAAAAAAAAATTTACATTGAGCAAAGCACAGGATAATGATGGCCAGGCCCACCAACACTCCTCTGGGGCCAACACCTCCCAGTCAATTACTGGCTTGGCTAATTGCACTCTGGGAAGCTGGATTGGTTGCACTGATCCCTCCTCCCACCTCTGCTGGAAAGGGTAGACATCTGTGGCTGCCTCTGCAGATTCTGTCACCTAGCAACGGGGCGTGGGGGGGAGCCCCACGGGCCGCTCTGGGAGTGAGCTGCCGCCACCCCACTTCTGCCAGCTGGTTTTGCTGTCCGTGTGAATGACTGACACTCCTGATATGTGCTTCCCCCTCCCGCTAGGAAATTTGCCCCCATGTGCAGCATCTGTGAGAATCCCATCATCCCCCAAGATGGGAAGGATGCCTTCAAAATTGAGTGCATGGGAAGGAACTTCCATGAAAACTGTTACCGTTGTGAGGTGAGTGGAGCTAAGATGGTTTGAAGAGCTGTGGCCACAGGGCAGCCGTCCCTGGCTCCCTGCCCTCAGTGGAGGCCAGGAAGAGAGGATTGGAACACACAGGGCTCCATCGGAGTTCGGTGTGAGCTCCTATCACTGACTATGGGAAGAGACTGTGCTAACTCATGGCGGTGACACCACTGGTAGCAAGTGATAGCCCTGAGGCAAGCCCATCACTCTACCTCCTGGTCCTGCCTTTACTTTCTTTTCTGAGGGCTGGCACAGCACATGGGCACAGACAGCTCAGGTTTATAGCATTAGAAGCCCCAAGGGAGCTGGCATCAGGATGGCTGAGTGATTAAGGTATTGGAATTAAGATCCAATGAACATTATGTCTGCGTGGGTTTGAATTCCACTCCTGGCATAAGTGCTACTTTGCTGTGTGGTGGTGGCGCACGTCTTTAATCCCAGCACACAGGAGGCAGAGGCAGGTGGATCTCTGTGAGTCTGAGGCCAGCATGGCCTACAAAGCCAGTTCCAGGACAGGCTTCAAAGCTACAGAGAAACCCTATCTCAAAAAACAAACAAAAAAAGAAGTTCCAAGAGAATGAGAGTAGACCCCATTGTGGGAGAGGCATACTTCCCAAGAAGGTTCCTGGTTGGCCTCACACGGGTTATTGTCAATGGGACAAATGCCAAAATCAAAAGCAAATTGGTTGAGGAAAAGACTTATTGTACAGGTTACAGTCCATTGTTAAGGCAGGAACCTGGAACAGAGACTATGGAGGAATGCTGCTTACTGGGCTGAACCCTCTCTCTCTGGTTTAGATTTCTTAGACAGCCCAGGACGTCCTACATCAATTAGCAATCAAGAGAATGGCCCACAGACATGCCACAGGCCAATCTGCTCAGGGCAGTCCCCCATTCAGACTCCCACAGATAGCTCTGAGCTGTGTGAGATTGACAGCTGATGCTAACATGCCTTGGGAGCCTATCCCAGGCTGGGAGCTGGTGAGCGAGGATTGACAGCCCCTGGAGCCAGAAGACAGAACGCAAGACACAGGTCTGTCCATACAGTCCTGTCCTGTCTCCCTACCTCACCCCACCCTGACAGGGTCTCACTGTGTAGCCCTAGCTGTCCTATAACTCACTACAAACTCATGGAGATGCCCCTGCCTCTGCCTCCCTGATGCTGAGAGTGAAGTGTGCACATCACACCTGGCCTCATGGAACGGGTTTTGACTACCACAGACAGAAAGGAATCCTGGGCAGGCTTAAACCTCTGTAGGTGCCAGGAAAAGCAGGTGAGAGAGATGGGTTTTAGGAGCCAGTGAGATGGCTCAGTGGGTGAAAATACTTGCCACCAAGCCTGGCTACCACATGGTGGAATGAAAGAACCGACTTGTGCAAGCTGGCCTCTTACCCACACACTCTGCTGTGACACAAGCATGGCTGCACATATATGCACAATGCATAAATTAAAGTGTAATAAAATTTAAATGGGATTAGAGGGAAAAGGCAGTGATGAGTGTCTAAGCAGGAGGTAGGAGAAGAAAAACAATTCTTGTAGCCCATGACTGTAACCCCAGCCCCGGGGAGGCTAAGGCAGAAGAACTTGAGCTTGAGGCCAGCCTAGAACACGCAGTGAGACTCTTTCTGAAGGAAAGGAAGAAGGTTCTTTTCTAAATAGGGGTATTTAGCCTATTACATGAGACTCGATGGATTTGTCAGTTGCATAGAGGGGAAAGGAAATACAGGAGAGAAAACTTTGCAAGCGTGAGAGCCTGGGTTCAGATTCCCAGAGTCCTTATGAAAAGCCAGGTACACGCCTGTAATCTCAATGGGGCTGAGCTGGGAAGAGGGGATAGGTTGATTTCTGGAGCTCTGGCCATTGGCCCAGCCTACTTGACGAAGTCCTGAGCAGTCTGAGTGTTTGCACACACAGGAGTATACACACACACACACACACACACACACACACACACACACACTGCTGCAGGGGAAACTCTGAAGAGGAAGTGGAGGGGGGTTTCTAGATATGCCAGAGGCGACTTGTAAGAAAGGCAGCCAAGAAGGGGAGGGGCTGGGCTGTGATGCGAGGCTGCTTAGAAACTGCTACCACGGGCCGGCAGGAAACGCCAGGCAGTGGTCATGTGGTCAGAAGGGACAACTACTATGTCTTTATTTTTTATTTTATTTTTTAGATGTATTTGTTTTATTTTATGTGTGTGTGTATGTTTTAACGGCATGGATTTATGTGTACCACGTTTGTCTGGTGCCTGTGGAGACCTGAAGAGGGCCCTGACCCCGCTGGTTCTGGAGTTATGGCTGGCTGTGAGTCACCATGTGGGAGCTGGGAAACAAACCTGAGTCCTCCGCAAGAGAAACGAGTGCTCTAAACTTAAACTCCTGAACCATATCTCCAAACCAAGACCTTGTATTTATTTATTTAGTTAGTTAGTTATTCGGTTTTTCAAGACAGGGTTTCTCTGTGTAGCCCTGGCTGTCCTGGAACTCACTCTGTAGACCAGGCTGGCCTCAAACTCACCAAGATCCATCTGCCTCTGCCTCCTAAGTGATGGGATTAAAGGTGTATGCTGCCGCTGCCGCCACCACCACCCGGATAAATTAAACTACCTTTTTTTATTATTTATTTATTTATTTTTATATGCATTGGTGTTTTGCCACGTGTCAGGTCCCCTGGACCTGGAGTTACAGACAGTTGTGAGCTGCCATGTGGGTGCTGGGAATTGAACCTGGGTCCTCTGGAAGAGCATCCAGTGCTCGTAACTATTGAGCCATCTCTCCACCTTAAACTGACCCCAAAAACAAAACAAAACAAAACCCACAGATGTAAAACCTAGACCACAGCAGCCTGGAACAGAACTGGATTCTGTTTCTCCCAGAAGGAAATGTGTCCATGTCCTGCCCATGGCATCCCTCATCATTCCAGCTGACTCTATGGTCTATGTGGTTTATTACTGACAATATTTTTATAAATGGAAAGTGCTTTTTAATTATAAAAAAACTGTCATATGTACTGCCTTATTAAATCCTAATGACAGTCTTGGGAGATGACTTATTGTCCGCGTTTAAGTTGAGAGAACTGAAGCTGGGCATGGTGGCATACACCTGTTGTTCCCAGTACTGGGAGGCCGAGGAGGGAAGATGGAGAGTTCAGGCCAGCCTGGGACATGCAGAGAGAGACTCTGTCTCAAAAGGAGCAAAGCCAAGCTGGGTGTGGGATCGAGAGTTCAAAGTCATCCTTGGCTACACAGTTTGAAACTAGCTTCAGCTTTAAGAGTGTGTCTCGGCCGGGCGATGGTGGCGCACGCCTTTAATCCCAGCACTCGGTAGGTAGAGGCAGGTGGATCTCTGTGAGTTCGAGGCCGGGCTGGACCAATAGCCCCCAAAACAATACAGAGAAACCCTGTCTGGTAAAAACCAAAAAAAAAAAAAAAAAGAGTGTGTCTCAAAGTGAAGGGGTCTGGAGAGATGGCTCAGCAGTTAAGAGCACACACTGACTGTTCTTCCAGAGGACCCGGGTTCAATCCCCAGCACCCACATGGCAGCTCACAACTGTCTATAACTCCAGTTCCAGGGGATCTGACACCCTCATACAGACATACATGCAGGCAAAACATCAGCGCACATGAAATAAAAATAAATAAACCATGAGGAGGAGCTGAGCGCCCCCGGGGCAGGTTCTGTGCTGGCATGAACCCACATGTACTTCTGTCTTCCCAGGACTGCAGTGTCCTCCTGTCTGTGGAGCCCACCGACCAAGGCTGCTACCCGCTGAATGACCACCTCTTCTGCAAGCCCTGCCATATAAAGAGGAGTGCTGCAGGGTGCTGCTGAGAACCCCTGGCCAGCCCTCCCCTGACTTGGTTTCCCCACCTGACCTCCTTCCTTTCCTTTTGAGTCTCACAGGACACCAACACATTGCTCAGCACACGGTGAATGGACACCAGGGCCTGAGACACTAGGGCTTGCCGCCCCCAGGTACACAGCTACACAGCACCCTCCAGACTGTCACGGCAAACCAGAAGGCCTCTCACCATGAGACTTGAACCCTGGTCCCTCTCTGTTGCTGGCCCTGGCCTGTTTGTGGGGACAGGTCTTGGCCATGACTCTGACCATGATGCTTAGCTTCCCTGCAGAAGGTACTGAGACCAGCTTAGTGCATTGAGCTGACCTGTTTGAGGTGTGCCTGCCCAGTTACTGTAGAAAGTGTATTTTCAAATTGTAGAAATTTATGCTGGGGCTGGGTACAGAGGTAGGAGGATCTCTGTAAGTTTGAGGCCAGCCTCAGAGAAAAAAATAACAAAAACAAACAAAACAACAACAACAACAAAAAACAGAATGCAACTCTGGGGCTGGTGAGATGACTCAGTGGTTAAAAGTACTTGCTGCTCTTGTGAAAGACCAGGGTTCATTTCCCAGCACCTTCATGGAGGCTCCTAAGTGCCTGACTTGTAACTCCAATTCCAGGGGAGCTGATGCCCTCTACTGGCCTCTTCAGGCTCCTGCATGCACACAGTGCACATATACTCAAGCAGACACACACACACATTTAAAAAAAAAACAAAAACTTTAGTCAGGTGCAGTGGCCCATGTCTTTAATCCCAGCACCTGGGAGGCAAAGCAAGCAGATCTCTGCGTTTGAAGGCAGCCAGGGCTACACAGTGAAATGCTGTGGTTTGTTTTAAGTGGCTAAGTCTGGCAGTCCACTCTATGGATCCTAATGCTTGGGAGAACTACCAGGCTTGAGGCCTGCCAGGTCTTTGTAGAGTTCCAGATCAGCCTCGGCTACATTGTCTCAAAAATAAGTAAACAAACAAACCGCAAATGCATGGGAACATGATTCAGTGGCCACCCAGCCCTGGAACACCTGCTGAAGAGGCGCTGGAATCTGAGGAGTAGGATGGCGCCCCCCCAGGCGCCCCCTACTTCCTGGTTCTCCCGTGTGCTCTTGTGAGCCGTCCATAGGCATGAACTAAGTGCCTTTGATTTGCTGGGGACAAGAGGGGTTCTGAAGCTCCTTCCTACAACCTTCACTGGGGCTGAGGCTGCCCAAGTTCTCTCCCCCTCCCCCTCCCTCCCTCCCTCCCCTCCCTCCCTCTCTCCCTCTCTCCAGGATGAGGCCAGCGAAGGGCATATCCCTCTGGTCTCCCATTTGTACCTCAGCCCCCATAACCACAGCCTCCATGAGGCTACACCTAGAGCAGTCTTCCTTTTAAAGAAATCCACTCTAGGGCTGGCAAGATGATTCGGCTGGTGAAGGGGCTTGCCACCACGCCTGATGACCTGAGTTCTATCCCTGGGACCCACGTTGAAGGAGAGAACCATTTCCCTGAAGCTGTCCTCTGGTTTACACATGCGTGCCACGGATACACCTTTGCGCACACAGGCACACACAAATAATAGAAATAAGATGTAAAATAGAAAAAAACTCACTTTTATGCTTTGTAACTTCTAAGATGCACATAGAACAAATTAAACACGTTTTCCTTTCTTGCATCTTCTTTTTGTTTGGGGGCTTGGTTGTTTTCCTTTTGGATTTAGTTTGTGTGAAATCAGGTCTTATGTATCCCAGGATGATCTTGAACTACCTGTGTAGTCCGGCATTGCTTTGACTTCATATCCCTGTCTCCACCTCCTATATTATGGGATTTTTGTTTCTAGGGCTCAAACACAGAGCTACGTGAAACCCTGTCTTTTGGGGGAGCGGGGGGTTCAAGTCAGGGTTTCTCTATATAACCTTGACTGTCCTGGAACTCACTCTGTAGAGCAGGCTGGCCTCGAACTCACAGAGATCCGCCTGCCTCTGGCTCCCGAAGGTGTGCGCCACCACCACCTGGTTGAGACCCTGTTTTTTTTTTTGTTTTTTTTTTTGGTTTTTCGAGACAGGGTTTCTCTGTAGCTTTGGAGGCTGTCGTGGAACTCACTTTGTAGACCAGGCTGGCCTCGAACTCACAGAGATCCGCCTGCCTCTGCCTCCTGAGTGCTGGGATTAAAGGCGTGCGCCACCAACGCCCGGCTGAGACCCTGTTTTAAATATATAGGTGGCTGGGGGCCTAGCACATTGAGAACATTAAGCATGTACTTGAGACCCTGACTTCTATCCCCAGCACCAAAACAAGATATATACGAATGAAAGCAGATAGACAGAAACTGGGAGAGAAGCTAATAAAGTAGTGATGTGCTCCAGGAACCTCTTTGAAGAACATGAATTTCCCCAGCTTGGAGGTCCTGGGAGGCTGGCCTGCTGGCAGCTGAAGACCCTGAACTCCATCAAGGCAGGTGTGAAGCATAGCCACTAGGGGGCGACATAGGCCAACGAGCCGGCAGTGGTACCCGGGAGCCAAGGTTCTCTGGCTTCTCACCGGTTACTCTACGCGTGGGGCGGGCAGATAGCTCCTCCGGCACATTCACTGCAGCAAAAGACAGAGAGAAAACATCGCAAAAGAGTGACGTAGCAATGAACTTTTTCCACCTGTCGTAGGAATGTTCTCCTGGAGGAAGACCTAAGGCTAGAGATTAAGCCCCGACTCGCCCAAACTCTTACCTGCCAGGGAGGGGACACCAGTAAACTCCAGAATGAGTCCTAGGAACCTGGACTCGGAACAAAGGACGAACGGGAGTTGCTTGGAAACCCAGAACTTTCCCATAGCCCTGTTCCAGGGTCCCTGTCACCTGAGGCCACACCCAAGTACCTGGAGTATGACCTCACTAGCATGTGCCTGCCCCTCCAGTAGGGCCTGCTGCTGCCTCCTCAGCTGGAATAACCTTCGGAAGGCATCAGCTGATGGTGAAGCAAGCCTGTGTATGCCAGAAATCCCCGGAAGCGGAGGCAGGAGGATCTCGAGTCAAGGTCATCCTTTCTTTCTTTTTAAATTCTATGTGCATTAGTGTTCTGTCGGCATGTATGTAAGGGAATCGGATTACATACAGTATTACAGTTGTGAGCTGCCATGTGGGTGCTGCGAATTGAACCTGGATCCTCTGGTAGAACAGGTAGTGCTCTTAACCGAGCCATCTCCCCAGCCCGTTCGAGGTCATCTTTGAGGGCATAGTAAATATGCGATCTGCCTGATCTACTTTGAAAGGGTGTAAAGAGAGACGGTGTTGGGCTGGGGAGACGGTGTGTGAGGGTGTGAGATCCTCAGAGTGGTACTGTTAATGCTCCCAGTTCATGGACAGGGAAGCAACCCTAAGAGACAGACCACTTACCCAAGGCTGCATGGTCAGGATCAGGGATTTCCAGTAACATCTCCAGGGCTCCAGAAAGACACACCTCAAAAACATCCATGTTATGGAATATACCAGAAACCAGCATGCATGCAGCACAGATGGCAAAATTCAACTGGAAACCAATTTTTTGGGGCGGTCCCTTTATCTGCCTATGTGGCTGAGTTAACAGTGTATTTGCCTAGCATGCAGAAACCTAAGCCTTGAGTTTGGTTCCCAGCATGACACAAGCCATAACCAGGGGTGGTGGCCCATGACTGCCATCCTAGCACAGTGGGGAGAGAGGCAGGAGGATCAGGGGTTCAGGGTCACTGTAGAGATTTTGAGGCCAGCCTGGGATGCATGAGACCTTATTTCCAAACACCAAAACAAATACATGCATGGACAAAAACCCGAAGGTTGTTTTCTTATTTCATTTTTAACTGAGTTTTCTTTGATTTAACCTGTAAGTGTACTTTACCTACATGCATGCCTGTACACCTGATACTTTGAGAAACCGGGAAAAGGTGCCAGATTCCTAGGAACTGGAGTTACCGAGATTGTGAGCCACCAAGTGGGTGGTGGGAATTGAACCTGGGTCCTGTGGAGGAACAGCCTCCTGACTGCTGAACCCTGCTAGCTCCTCGTTTCGTTTTTCTCCTGTGGTTTTTACGTTGCTTCTTCTTGTTCTGTTGTAAGTTTTAGGGCTGGATAGGTGGTTCAGCAGTTAAGAGTATATGCTGCAGGCTGGAGAGATGGCTCAAAGGTTAAGAGCACTGACTGCTCTTCCAGAGGTCCTGAGTTCAATTCCCAGCAACCACATGGTGGCTCACAGCCATCTGTAATGAGATCTGGTGTCCTCTTCTGGCTTGCAGGCAGGATGTTGTATTCATAATAAATAAATGACTAAATCTTTAAAAAAAATATATGCTGCCCTTGCAGAGGACCTGGGTTCGGTTCCCAACGCCAACAAGCATCTGCCTACCACACCAGTGCCACTGGATCTAATGCCTTCTTCTGCTCTGAGGGCTGCTGCACACATGATACACATGAGCTCACACACAAGTACACATGCTAGCCCTAGCCTGCCTTCAGCAACTCAGCGCCAGCGGCCATATCATCGCCAGCCCCCAAATGTGACACCTGTACCCTTCAAAGCATCCCCACCTTCATAGCCCACTGTCTGTCCCCTGGTCTGTCTGTCTTTGTCTGTCTCTCACTCTCTGTCTCTTCCCCCTCCATCCTCCCTCAGAGGCAGCCTCTGAACACCCACACGTACAATAAATCTCTCTCATAAAATCTGTTGTATGATATGTCCCTAACCAATGTACTCCCACCACATAAACCCTAACCACACACATACACATGAAAATAAATACACAAAGACTTTTCTACATTTATTTCTATGGAGGGGCACCTGCATGCCACAGCTCATCCGTGTGTGTGTGTGTGTGTGTGTGTGTGTGTGTGTGTGTGTGTGTGTGTTATTGCTGTTGCTGCTGCTGCTGCTGTTACTACAGCTGGAAATTACTGACCTACATCCTCAGACCTGGAAAAAGAAGTCTTGCATGTATGTGTTCAGTCCCTAAAGGGCCTGAGCTCAGATCTTGTATCTCACCTGCACTTCAGCCAGTGCTCTGCAATGTCCTCTGCTCTCCAAGAAGAGGCCTGGCATCCGGTGTGTGAATCACACCACTTCTCAGAGGCAGACTGTGGACTGAACCCTTCTGTGACCTGCCTTGTGCGGAAAATGCCTGGGCCTTGGTCGGAAGCTATGCTCTGTCCACACAGCACACCCTTCCTGTTGGCTGATGATCCCAACCTTCCCCCCTTGTCTTTGAACTGTTTTATAGCTTGGCAAATTGCAGGTGGGTGAAAATTCTGTCCTGTCTGCTAGAGGTTTCCCAGCAACCTCCCCCTTGTGACGAAACTGGCATCTGCTTGCACATGAGTTCACTATGCCTGACCTAAAATGTGTCCTGTGGCTGCTGTTTGAGCTGGGGGCAACACTCCCTTCCTGCTCCCTCCCTCACAATGAGTGGGAACCCTGGAACCCTGGAACTGGTTTTTTGTTTGTTTGTTTGTCTGTTTGTTTTTTCCTGTGCTGGGACTGGAGCCAGGGCCTTATGAGATTCTAGGTTGTTACCTATGAGCTAACCTGGAAAAACTTCACTTAACACTGCTGAGAAAATGACTCAGTGGTTGGGAGCACTGACTGCTCTTCCAGAGGACCCTGGTTCAGTTCCCAGCACCCACGTGGCAGCTTGTGCTTGCCTGTGGTTCCAAGTTTGGGCGGGGGTCTGACCCTCTCTCTCACACAGACATACATGTAGGCAAAACACCAACACACATAAAATTAAATAAATAAATACACTTCCTTATAGCCGGCCATTGGTGGTGAACGCCTTTAATCCCAGCACTCAGGAGGCAGAGGCAGGAAGATCTCTGTGAGTTCGAGGCCAGCCTGGTCTACAGAGGGAGTTCCAAGAAAACCTCCAAAACAATACAGAGAAACCCTGTCTTGAAAAACCAAAAAATAAATAAAGGAAGAAAGGAAGGAAGGAAGGAAGGAAGGAAGGAAGGAAGGGAGGAAGGAAGGAAGAAAGGAGGAACAAAAAAAAACCCACTTCCTTTAGCAGCTGTATATGAAAGGCTTCTTCAGAGGGGACCCTACAGCCAGTAGGCTAACAGTTAAAAATGACCAGCAGGAGGCAGCAGGGCAGCCTGAGAGACTGCAGTCAGGCAAGGATGGAGGGCAGGCTGTGCTCCAGTGGGAGGGACTAGGTCAAGTTCTGGTTGGCTGTGGCAGCTCCTAAGCAGTCACTACTTGTCCTTGAGAAACCCCTTTAAGATTCTTATTTGTAGCACTCCGGAGGCAGAGGCAGGCGGATCTCTGTGAGTTCAAGGCCATCCTGGTCTACAGAGCGAGTTCCAGGACAGCCTCCAAAACAATACAGAGAAACCCTGTCTTGAAAAACCAAAAAAAAAAAAAAAAAAAATTCTTATTTGTTTGTTTTGCTTTTTTCAAGACAGGGTTTCTCTGTGTAGCTCTAGCTGTCCTGGAAAACTCTCTGTAAACCAGGCTGGCCTCGACTCACTGAGATCCTCCTGCCTCTGCCTCCCAAGTGCTGGGATTAAAGGCTTTTGCTGCCGCCACCACCGTGGCCAGGCTCCCTTTAAACTTTGAGGGGACAAACAAGAATAACTACACACTCCCTGCATTCCTGTTTGGGGCAAGGCAGGAAGGCCATGAGAGAGGCAGTCATGTTTCCCCAGGGTTGGAGGTAGACTTAGGGTCTGGAAGATTCTTAGGTGACAGACAGCTGACGATGCATGGAGTCTTGCCAACAGGAGCAACCCCTATCTGGGGGCCACAGCCCACGTTTTGGAAGGCACTGAATCTTGGCCTCCTGAAGGTTCACTATCCTGCCTGTCCTTTGCACAAGGAGGTGAAGGCCCAGGTGACACCACTGGAGGATTTGACCACTGTGGACTTTCGCCACTGGTCCTCCTGCATCTCTATCCCATCTATTTTGTTTGATTGTCACAGGGTCTAATGTAGCCCAGGCTGGCCTCCAACTCCAGCTGTGTAGGCCAGGACGCCCTTGAAGCCAGCCTGGTCTTCAAAGAGAGTTCCAGGACAACCTCCAAACCTACAGAGTTCAGAGCCGTGGGAACCCCTCGCCAGCTGGCAGCAGACACACCCCAGGTGCAGGCTCTGCCTACCCCTCCTACAGTCCATTGCCTTCCAGCACCCACCTACAGACTGCACCAGGCTGGAGGGGAGAGGGGAGAGGAGCAGGGCTGGGCAGATGATTCGGGGTCAGTGTGAGGACTTGGCCAGGGCGGGACAATCCTGCCCTGGGAAGCAGGACAGAGGACTCCGCGGGTGACAGCTGATTTGTCACAGATGAAGTGTGTCACTGGGTCCAAGGCTCACACTTCCTCCTTTCGGGCTTTGTTTGATCCTAGCTCTCAGGAGATGCAACCTCAGCTCCTGGGGGGGCGTGGCTTACTTGGGAGGGGCATCAGGGGGCCTTCTCTGCTTACTCTGCCCTTTGGGTACCCACTGGGAAGCCACGCCAGCATTGCTCTCTCAGCACCCCCACACCCTCGTCTGAGGCCGGTAAGTTTCCACAGTGGCTCCTCCACAGTCTGTCAGGCTCGACCGCCCCCGCCCCCCCCGGGGCCGGCTGCGTGAAGCAGTGAGCTTCCTTCTCCTGGGCCTGGGCAATGCCAGCTTCATTGCTCTCATTGAACCCTCGTCTCTCCAGGGGCTGATCAGAAACAGCAGAGAGCACGTTCACCAAACACTACAACAAAAATGGGCTACAGGGCAGGGCGCCCCAGAGACCAAATTGACTAGGGAACTCCTGGACCAAGGATCCTAGGAAATAGCAACCCACGGATGCAGGACCTAGCAGGTGCCAGGCATTAACGTGTCGGACAGCTCTAGGAAAGGGAAGTATGTCCTCGGATCGTGGAGAGACTAACACGGCGTGCAAATGAGCACGATATCCATGAGGGGCCCCTCAGCCTTCGTGCCAGGACGGACACCGGAGAGCTCTCCCCAGGGCAGGTGGGAAAGTGCACAGAGGCCAGGTTTCCTCAGGTGAGACAGCCTGAGGCATGAAACTACCAGAAAGGAATGAGGTGGGGCTTGGGGGAGGGGCGGGCTGCCACAGGAAGGGAAGGAACTGGGCCGAGGTCAATCTGTGGAAGGCTTGGAGGAGGGCCAGTCTCTGGTCACAGGCCATGAACATTAGCGACTTCCCCCTAACCGTGTGACTTGTTTGTTTTACTCGATTGTCAGCGCACAAGCTGCTGCCTGCACAGGACCAGCCCTTAGTAAATATTTGTGGAATGAATGCATAGCTACTTGGGAATTTGGGGGAAGTCATGTGGAAATCTGCTATGGCCTATTGACCTCCTAGAAATTCTGTCAGCTTTTTCCAGACCCAGATCTCATGTCTGTAAGAGTGCTAAAGGGGTCATGCACAAAACTCAAGTCCAAATGGATCAAAGACCTCAGTATAAATCTGTCCGCACTGAACCTCGTAGAAGAGACAGTGGGAAATACATTGAACTCAAGGGAACAGGAGACCACTTCCTAAATAGAACACCACAGACACTGAGATAATAAATGGAACCTCCTGGACCTGAGAATCTTCTGTAAACCAAAGGACACAGTAAACAAGACAGAATGGGGCTGGAGAGATGGCTCAGAGGTTAAGAGCACTGGCTGCTCTTCCAGAGGTCCTGAGTTCAATTCCCAGCAACCACATGGTGGCTCACAACCATCTGTAATGAGATCTGGTGTCCTCTTCTGGCCTGCAGGCATACATGCAGACAGAACACTATGTAATAAATTAATAAATCTTTAAAAGATAATAATAAAAGAGCGTGCACCTACCACCGCCTGGTATGGGAAGAAGTAATCTTAAAAAAAAAAAAAGACAAAAAGGCTCCCTACAGAATGGGAAAAGATCTTCACCAACCCCACATCTGACCCAGGGCTAATCTCCAAAATACATTTAAGAACTCAAGAAACTAGATATCTAACTGCCAAATCATCCAATTAATAAAATGGGGTACAGATCTAAACTGAGAAATCTCAACAGAGGAATCTCAAATGGCAGAAAGACACTTAAGGAAATGCTCAACATCCTTAGTCATCAGGCAAATGCAAATCAAAACAACTCTGAGATACCATCTTACACCTGTTAGACTGGCCAAGATCAAAAACACTGATGACAGCTTATACTGGAGAGGATGTGGAGAAAAGGGTTCACTCCTCCACTGCTGATGGGAGTGCAAATTTGTACAGTCACGGTACAGTATGATTTCTCAGAAAATTAGGGATCAGCCTACCTCAAGACCCTGCAATACCACTGTTGGGCATAAACCCAAAGGAGGCACACTCACACCACAGGACATTTGCTCAACTATGTTCACAGCAACCAAATGCCCCTCAATTGAAGAATGGATAAAGAAAATGTGGTACATTTACACAATTGAGTACTACTCAGGGGTAATAAACAATGATATCCTAAAATTCACAGGCAAATGGACAGAACTAGAAAAAAAAAAAAACAAAAAAAAACCCAACTTGACTGAGGTAACCCAAAACCAGAAAGACAAATATAGTATGTACTCACTCATAAGTGGATACCAGACATAAAGCAAAAGATACCTAGCCTACAATCCACAACCCCAGAGAAGCTAGAACCCTCTTCCAGAAACAGATGGAAGCAGATGCAGAAATCCAGAACTAACCATTGGGTCATGCTCCTGGAGTACAATCAAAATTAGGGAAGAGGGGGGAGGGCCTAGGCCCTGCCCTGGATGAAATGACAGCCTCTGGAGATCCTACATGGAGAGTTTCACCCTCACTGGGGATCAGAGTGGACATTAGGTGGGGGTCTAGGGGACCTGGGGGGGAGGGGGGGAGGGGAGGGGGAAGGAGCTGGGATTGACATGTGAAGCAAGCTTGTTTCTAACTTAAATTTTAAAAAAAGGAAGAAAAAAAAAGAATTCACACCACAAAATTAAAAAAGAAAGAAATAAGGGAAGAGAGATACTATGAACAAAGGAGTCAAGACCATGATGGGGAAACCCACAGATTCAGCTGACCTGAGCTAGTGAGAGATCGCTGACTCCAGTCTGACAAATGGAGAACCTGCATAAGACTGAACTAGACTCCCTTAATATAGGTGACAATGGTGCAGCTGGGACAATATATGAGGTCACCTAATGCACAAACTGACTTAGTGGAGCCCATTCTTTTTTTTTGTTTTTGTTTGTTTGTTTGTTTTTGAGACAGGGTTTCTCTGTATTGCTTTGGAGGTTGTCCTGAAACTCACTCTGTATACCAGGCTGGCCTCGAACTCACAGAGATCCTCCTGCCTCTGCCTCCCGAGTGCTGGGATTAAAGGCGGCGTGCGCCACCAACGCCCGTGGAGCCCATTCTATATGGAAAGATACCTTGCCCAGCCTAGACACAGGGGTGTGGGGGGGTGGAGAGGTGCCCTGGTCCTGCCTCAATGAAATGGTGAGACAGAATTTGTTGACATCCTAGGGGAGGCCTTACCCTCTCTGAGGAGCAAATGGGAGGGGTGGGGTGGGGGAGTGGAGGAGATGGGAGGAGATGAGGGAGAGGACACTGGGATGGGAGTGTAAGAAATAAATAAAAAAAAATAAGAGTGCTAAGGGGGGGCAGGAGAGATGGCTCAGCAACTAAAAGCACTGGCGGCTCTTCCAGAGGACCCAGGTTCAATTCCCAGCACCGATGTGGCAGCTCACACCTCTCTGTGACGCCAGTTCCAGGGGATCAGATGTTCTCTTAGAGATGTATGCAGACAAAACACCCATAACCATAAAAAAATAGTTTTAGAAAAGTCATATGTTGTGACGCACACCTTTAACCACAGCATTTCAGGAGGCAGAGACAAGTGGATCTCTGAGTTCAAGACCAGCCTGGTCTACAGAGCAAGTTCCAGGTCAGCCAGGGCTACACACAGAAATAAAACCTGTCTCAAAAAAAAAAAAAAAAAGCAAAGCAAACAAACAAAAAACAACAAATAAACAAAAACCCCTATATTATTTTATTTACTTGGTGCCCATGAGGGTCAAACCCAGAGCTTCTTGCATGCTAAGCAACTCCACTACAGAGCCACACCCTCAGACCCCCAAATCTGCGATACATATACCCGTGTACCCACACATATCTACCATACAGACAAAGCTGTTTGCGTGTATGATCCATGTAGAGGCACATGCATGGCAAGCATGTGAAGGTTACAGGGCAATTCTGTGATGTCCGTTCTTGCCTCCGGCCTTTCTGTGAGTTCCCCCAAAAAAAAGCTGAACTCCTGATGATTCCAGAACCTTCTTCATACAGTTGTAGTCACGTGATCACCACCCAGTGTGTGTGACCTGTCTCTGAAGACTCACTCAGTTTACATGTTGACTCTCATAGTGGAGAAAAAAATCTGGAAGAGAGAAGGCCAAGGTATGCCCTCTGAACCTTCTGGGAAATGAGGCCAAAGTCCAATCCTGTTGTTTACAACCCTGTAGAGCTACCTGGTCTCTTCATTTCCACCAAGTATGAAGGCAGCTATAGGGTGGGATGGGAGGGCATCTTGTGTAGAAGGAATTAATAAGCACAATTACAAGTTCACAGAAAAGGGTCTCTAAGTTAGGGTCAGTGAGCCCTGGAATGCTTCCATTCTGAGAAGTGTTTCGTATCTTTAAAAAAAAATGTATAAGTGGTCGAGTGGTGGTGGCACACACCTTTAACCCAGCACTGGGGTGGCAGAGGCAGGCAGATCTTTGTGAGTTGGAGGCCAGTCTGGTCAACAGAGTGAGTTCCAGGATGGTCAGGGCTGTTACACAGAGGAAACCCTGTCTCGAAAAATTAAAACAAAACAAAAGAGAATAAATGGTTGGCAGTGGTAGTGCACACCTTTAATCCCAGCACTCGGGGGGGCAGAGGCAGGCGGGTTTCTGTAAATTAGAGGCCAGCCTGGTCTACAGAGCTTGTTCCAGGACAGGCTCCAAAGCTACACAAAGAAACCCTGTCTTGAAAACCAAAATAAACATAGATGAATAATGTAGATGTAATAATGATCCCAGTTCTCAGGAGACAGAGGCAGATAGATTTCTGTGAGTTCCAGGCTGGTCTACACAGTCAAGATCCAGGACAGCTTGAGCTACATAGTGAGACTGCCTCAAAAAAAAAAAAAAAAAAAAAAAAAAAGCAGTGTGAGCTCTTGACCTCTGAGCCATTTCTCCACCCCAACAAGGGAAATTTTAAAAAAATGTTCCCTCACCAGAGGCCATGCCTGGGGCATGCCAAGAGTTAACCTCAGCCCTATTTACTTCCTTAACAGACTGAGGGGGAGGGTGATGGAGGTGAGGGGCAGACCTAGACTAACCAGTTCCTCCAAGTGTGCCTTTCTTTTGTCCTGGGGCTCCATGCACTGAGGAATCTTCACCAAATTTACTTGTTAAGCCTAATTTTTTTCCCCAGGGCCAAACTCAGCCTTTTCAGAAAAGAGTGAACTCTATTGGATTAACAGGTTCTTTTTTTTGTTTTGTTTTGTTTTTTGTTTTTTCGAGGCAGGGTTTCTCTGTGGCTTTGGAGGCTGTCCTGGAACAAGCTCTTGTAGGGTAGCCTCGAACTCACAGAGATCGGTCTTGCCTCTGCCGCCCCAGTGCTGGAATTAAAGGCGTGGGACACCAATTACCGGCTGTTTTTGTTTTTGAGACAAGGGTTTCTCTGTGTAGCTTTAGAGTCTGTCCTAGAACAAGCTCCGTAGACCAGACTGGCTTCAAACTCAGATATCCTCCTGCCTCTGCCTCCAGAGTCCTGGGTTCAAAGGCCTATGCCAACACCACCTGAAGATTAACAGGTTCTCAAAGTGAACAGCTCTTCAGGGCAGTGGTTCTCAACCTTCCTAATGCTGAGACCCTTTATACAGCTCCTCAGCCGGGTGTTGGTGGCGCATGCCTTTAATCCCAGTACTCGGGAGGCAGAGGCAGGCGGATCTCTATGAGTTCGAGGCCAGCCTGGTCTACAGAGCAAGTTCCAGGACAGCCTCCAAAACAATACAGAGAAACCCTGCCTCGAAAAAACAAAACAAACAAACAAACAAAAAACCAAAACCCAAAAATACAGAATACAGTTCCTCATGTTGTGTTGCTACTTCATAATTGTAATTTTGATATTGTTATGAATCATAATGTAAATGTTTTCCAGTGGTCTTAGGTGACCCCTGTGAGAGACCCACGGGTTGAGAACTGTTGCTTTAGGACATTGAACACTGCTAGAGTTTTTTGTCTTTCTCTGTAGCTTTGGAGCCTGCCCTGGAACTAGCTCTATAGATCAGACTGGACTCGAACTCACAGTGATCCTCCTGTCTCTGCTGAGATTAAAGACATGGGCCACCACCGCCCGACTTGTCATCCTCTCTCCTTTCCTATCTTTCCTTCTTTCTCCTCCTCTTCCTGTCCTTCTCCAGAGACAGCCCAGCTAGTTCAGACTCTCTGAGGCCCAGGATAACCTTGCCCTTCCCCCCACCCAGACCATCAGCACCCCCCTGTGCTACCAAACCTGCCTTTCATCACCTTTTCTACGGAAGGGGAGGAAAGACATTGAGGCTTTGTCATTCACTCGTTCCAAAGGACAGCGGCAAGAGCCAAATCACAGCGGATGCCTTGCAGTCCCAGGGGGAGCCGGCCAGAAACATTACCCCACATTTTTAACCAAAAAGCTGTTCCCTGAATGCTCATTGTTATACGCTCTGCGTTCAGTCAAGGACTGGGGAAGCATGGGGGGAAACAGCCTGAATCCCACAGCTCTGTATTTAGCATCTTTTTAGAAATCCACATGGAACTAGATTTCTTTTTTAAACTTTTTTTTTTAATTCTTTTCCAGCTGGGTGGAGATAGTGGTGGTGGCGGCAAGCCTTTAGTCCCAGCACTTGGGAGGCAGAGGCAGGTGGATTGTGGATCTCTTGAGTTCTAGGCCAACCTGCTCTACACAGAGTGGGTAGTACAGGCTCCAAGGCTACACAGAGAAATTCTGTCTTGGAAAAAAAAAAAAAAGGGAAGAAAAAAGGTTCTTTTTTTTTTTTTTTCAAGACAGGGTTTCTCTGGCTTTGGAGGCTGTCCTGGAACTAGCTCTGTAGACCAGGCTCGTCTTGAACTCACAGAGATTCACCTGCCTCTGCCTCCCAAGTGCTGGGATTAAAGGAGTGTGCTACCTGCCTCTGCCTCCTAAGATTAAGATTTTATTTTTGTGGGAGGAGAAATGGCTCCAGTTAAGAGCACTGGCTGCCCTGGCAGAGGTCCAGGGTTCGATTCCCAGCACCCACATAATAACATAGTAGCTCACAGCCATCTGTAACTCCAGCTCCAGAGGATCCAATGAACTTTGCTGGCCCCCATGGGCACCAGGCCAATACTTGGTACACAGACATACACTCAGGCAAAACACCCAAACACATAAAATAAACCAATCTTCTATATGTATATGTGCATACGTATGTATAAGTGTATGTGTATATGTATGTGTGAGTGAATGCCCCGTATGTGGGTGGCCACAGTGGCCAGAAGAGGGTGTTGTGTCTCCTGAAGCTCAAGGTACAGGGAGTGTGAACCATTTGATGTGGGTGCTGAGAACCTAATTTGGGTTCCCTGGAAGAACAGTGAGTGTCCTTAACCAATGAGCCATCTTTCCAGTCCCTAAAAGCCATTTTAAAATTGCATGCTATTTATTTATTTATTTATTTATTTGTGTGTATGGGGGTGCATTCAACCAATGGAATAACTGTCTCTTTCCTCCTCGTGGGTTGTGGAGGGAGGGCCTAGGGTAACTTGGTACACACCTGCTGCTTGGCTGTATTGCTGCCATGCCAAGGCTCAGTGGAGACCAATCAGGAAGTTAGCCTGAGTTTTCAGTGTACCCTAGAGCAACGTCTGACTCTGGGAAAGGCCTTGAACTGAGACCACCCAGGCACAACCCAGGAAACCTACCATCCAAGGAGAAAGTACTTAAAGTTCCAAAGGAAATTCCTAACGTTCCAACCATTGTAGATAGGATCACCTGACATCCCTTAGCCCAGCACACACACCCATCCCTCTCACCAAGACAAATGTCAGCCAATCAGGGGTCCTGAACCTTATTAATCCTTCACCCAACCTCTGTCATGAGTCGATTGGCTCCTCTCTTGCTCTCCTCTCATGGTCTGGTTTAGTCTGCCGGCCACGTTCTCCCTAGGCTTTTCCCTCTGTTGTTTTCACCCTTACATCTACAATAAAAGCCTTCTCCACACTTTAGGAGAAGTCACATTCTTCTCCTTTCATTTCGTTTTTTCAATCAGTTTACTTCCATTATGCGGGTCCTGACGCTTGACATCAGGTCTTCAGGCTGAGTTGCAAGCGCCTTTCCTTGCTGAACCATCTCACCAGCTCCATTTTATTTTTTGAAATGGTGTCTCCCATCCCTCAGGCTATCCTCAAACTTAGTATACACTCACGCAGGGTTTTAGAGCAATCCTGATCCTTCTGCCTCCTCCCAAATCCTGGAATTATGGTATATGAGATCATGCCTAGAAGTATGTTTGATTTTTTGTTTTGTTTTGTTTTGTTTTTGAGACAGAGTTTCACTGTGTAGCCCTGGCTGTACTGGAACTGTCTCTGTAGACCAGGCTGACCTTGAACTCAAAGATCTGCCTGCCTACTTCTGCGGCCCAAGTGCTGGCTTTTTTTGTTTTTTGTTTTTTTAAGATAGGGGTCTCTTGTATCTCACTGATCTCAATCTTGCTATAGCTGAGAGAATGATTCCAACTTTTTTTTTGAAGCCCTGATCATCTGCCCCCTCCCCAGTTCTGGGATCACAAGCACCATATTTAGGAAGTAATGTTTGAAATTGACACCTGATATTAAAGATTTCCACATACAGATTCTTGAGACAGCATCTTAGGCAGTGGAACAGCAGAGACAAGGTTCTGAGGAGGACAGAGCACCCTTCAGTCATCAGAGGATGTTGTGTTTGTGTTGAGACAGGGTCTCCCTATGTAGCCCCGGCTGACCTGGAACTCACTATGGAGACCAGGTTAGTCTCAAACTAAGAGACTGCCCTGCCCCTGCCTCCCAAGTGCTGGGATTAAAGGAGTATACTGCCACAGCCCAGGAACGGTCACTCCCTTAAAAGTGACCATAGGACAGGCATGCTTTACTAGACCAGGGTACATAGTCTGGACTAAGGAAAGGGAGAAGGCTTGGGGACCAGCTGTTATAATGGGTCCCTTGGCATGTGCCAAGCAATCAAAGAGACTTTGAGCAGTAGCAACAGCTGCCTTGTGGATAAAGGGGAGGAGCACAGCTGGCCAGCCAATATGAACTAGAGGCTGCAAGTCAAGCCAACAAGAGACACGACAGACACACTTCAGACACCGTAGAGATCCTGGAAGGTCCCATATGTTAC